AATTAATTGTACAACAGAAAATACAAATGCTATTTATTGTCTCCTCACAACAATGATAAGAAAAATAAACTGGGCCAATATGGCATGTTTGTTAATACAGAGATACACATGTTAATGTGATCTCTGGTCTCCCACTCAGAGACACAGATCTCCGAGTGTCCAGCATTCAGACGGCTACCCGAGGACACTCATGAGAGAAAACCTGCTCACACAGATATGTAGAGCCAAATACTGTTAATAAGGCCTCTGCAATGTTCTGAAGACAGTTAAACTTGTCAGGTAGTGATGTCCAGCAGGTGAAAATACAAGCTCCATGAACACGCACAGCTATGGATTCCAGCTTCCAGAGCTTTTCAGTTCAATCAGCTGCATTTCGATGTCCTCTCTGTCCAGCCAGTTAGTGCGAGACAAATCCAACTGCTCATTAAAGCTTTCTGGTTTGATCAGAAAACAAAACATTGGTCCATACACCTGAGAGTCCAGAAAACACATTATGAATTCAGTCTCGAGTCTACGGATGTATCCGAGTATTTCCGCGGTGCTGATGCTGTGCTGATCGGAGAGCTCCTGAAGCATTTGAAGTGTCGGAATGTGGAAATTTCAACATCGCTTGAAAAAATTGCCAGCTAGCAACGTCCCTCTCACCGGTAGGCTAAGTGATCTTTAGCCAATTACAAGTTGAATCTGGTAGTTGGGGTTGGAAGCTAAGATACCGTCATTAAGAAGAGGCACAACTAATGTGTCTATGCGAGCTAATTTGCGATGTGCACCGCTCGCCTGGCCATTTATTTTTTAATGCACCTTCTCAGATTAATTCACTGCGTGTCGTGCCCAGGAATGGACTGGGACAAAAAATCGACCCAGGCATTTTGAGTAGAGCCCGGCCCACCGGGTATTATAGGAAAAACTATAAAGCCTTTGAATGAAAACAAACGCTGTTGGGACAGTGGTGTACACTGTCTTGTTGGTATATGTATGATTTCTATACATTTTACATCAGATAAAAACTTTGATTGTAAGATTCAGATATTTTTTTTATTAAAAGCTAGACGTTGTAAATGAGAATAAGAAAGAAAAGTATTTCTTTGTGCCCCCCTCTCCCTGTTAATGCCCTGCCTGTCAGCTACATAGAAAAGGATCCTGGTGTTTTTTGTCTCTCAGAAACAGTTCATAACTTCCCTTCAACTCATTCATGTCACCTAAAAGGTAAACCTGTTTCTCCATCACCTGTTCAGTAAACATAAACTCCACCTAAACTTGGTTTATATCTGACCCAGACAGACTGCAGGTCATAACTTCTTACCTGAAGTTCAGTTCACCTGACACTCGGACCGGCGGCCGCCTCGGGTCTCTGCCCTTCCTGCCTCCCCTTTCCCTCATCCACCTGCTTCTGTGGAAGCTCCACCACAGCCACCACCAAACTACTCAGTTATTTTTACACATCGGCCAGCATCTGGACAATCCACCGCCTTTCATTGTTTATACCGTTACTAAAAACAACCAAACAAACAAAAAAAACATTGGCCCATAAAAACGAAAAATCACCCTATGGTCGTGCCATCAGTGGCACGCGTGCCCAGGATTGCCGACCCCTGCATTAGAAGATGACAGCATGCCTTGACCTCGGTGTGGTGATAATGAACATTTTATATTATCATCTTCAGATGTCCCTGTCTCCTCTGTGGATTATGATTGCTGCGTTCCTTGGTTTTCATTTGATGTAGAGATGGCGGCACACTCCTCCTCAGAATCCTCCTCGTCGTCGGACAATTGGCAGTCTGGATCATCAATAACATTGTCCTCGGCCTCTGAAAGATCCTCTGTCTCTGAAACATCTACACTGTACACAAACACTGCAAAGATATTCCAGGACACATCAAAGTGTCCATATTTAAACAGCAGTTTATGACCCCAGATAAGGAAAAGTCATAAACTTTCATGAAGAAAAAGAAAGGATGACCAGTACTTTGGTCACCACAAAAAGTGGTCGATGAGAGTTTGTTTTTTAACGAGTCCTCATTCAGTACTGTGCAAAAGTCCTGAGCCACTTCCAATTTGAAGGGGCTTAACAACCCAAACTTTCCTCAGGGAAATTGTGAGGTGCAAGGACTGGACTGAAAATGAGAGAAAAAGCAACCTAATGTCCAAATAAAACTATTGATTGCTTTCTCAATAAAACAGATGATACATAACTATGAAAGGCCTTAATAGATCCTGGAGAACTACTGATGAAGACCACTTTAAAAACTGAAACTCCTTGTAAGCTAAAAGAAAGAAAAGAGAGGTTGCTCAAGACTTTTGCACTGCAAGCAGAGGAGATGGGTCTGCGAAACACATTTAAGGTCAGCTAAAAACTGCATCTGAGGCCTGCAGATGGTTATATGCAGACAGATGTGTTGAGTGTCATCGGGTTTTTTTGCTGAGGTTTCCCACGATCGCAGTGCTGCTCGGTCAGCAACGCTGGGCTGAAACCTCGGCGCACAGCAACATTTCTAATGGTGATTTAACCGAACACGCCTCCAGTGAGTTTATGAAATCCATCTGAGCGGTGCCTCGGTGGGAAGAAAGAACTCTTAATAGGTAACATAACATGATCACTGGAACAGGAAACGGGGCAGAGTCTGAAACATTTGTTCTTCCTTTAACATCTCAGGACTTTTTTCTAACATCTTTAGGGCCATCAGATCACCGGTGAGCCCCTCAGAGGTCAGCGAGGGGTTTGATTATGACCACATGCTCAACAAGCACAGTTCCAGAAATGAGTTACCGTTCAAAACAAATCTCTTACATGCATTTGACCCTCTATTATGTGATTTCTGTTTGCATGCACCATATAGATGAAAATCCCATACAAAAGAAGAGCTGTGTTGCACATTAGTAAGTGTTGCATTTGATATATTTTAAAGTGAAACCACTGAATAAAACCTGTTTTTTCAAAGTGTAACCAGTGCACCAACATAAGAGTTTAAGTGTGGAAAGTAGGAAATTATTATGACAAAAGTTAAGGAAACAAAAGTAATTATTAAGGTGGGCGTCTCTTTTTTTCTACCTTTGACCCTCTCTGTGGTCTACATTCATTTTTACTGTGTCACACTGACATCTAGTGGTCAAAGATAGCAAGTATATTTCAGAGCGTTTATTTTTACTTTTGCTCAACCTTCATCTGACTCTCTCCATCCATCCATCCATCCATCCATCCATCTATCCATCCATTCTCCTCTGCTTATGCAGTTCTCTGGCACACTTGGGTGATAGATACAGGTGTCCCTGGGCGATAGGCGGGACACACCTGGACAGGTTGCTAATTTTCTGCAAGGTTAACACAGAGAGAGAGAGACAATCTACACCTACAGCCAAATTAGAATCACCACTTGAGCTGACTGGCATGTCTTTGGACTGTGGGGTGATGCCTGGATTCAAACCCACAGCCTTCTTGCCGAGAGGCAATGGAGTAACCTCTCCATTAGAGGGCAGAGTATCAAAATTAATTTCAGGAGTTTTGTGACAATAGAGAGAAATTGTAGAGGAAGTCCTTTTAACACACTGTGGTCAACATTTATAGGTTCAGGCATTTCTGATCAGATGGGCATGATTAAAAAACCCAGAATCATCATGTTTACACTGTAGTTTTTAATCCAGGGACTCAGTAAATGCTCACACAGAGCTCCACTGCAGCCGTGTTTCATGTTTCAGGTAAGTTCATGGACAAAACCAGTAACAGTCGAGGATTAACACTAATTTACATATGCTTGATTTGTGGTTCATGGTCAGAGGCTGACCATGAATTCTGGAGCCAGGAACCAAAAGAGGAAATATCTGTTTAGTTTGAATGCATGCAAATTCATTATGAAGGTCCCCCCCCCCCGTTACTTCTGCCATCTAACTATGAACTCAGAGGCAAAACAGAGTTTACTGACTGGGAGTCATCACCTCCTTCCTTTGCTACAGTTATTCCAACGAAGCAAATGCACACAACCCACAAAATGTCATTAAAATATTAAAATAAATACACTCCTGTTTTCAGCGATGCATATTCCACCATGTAAGATTTTCATATCATTAATACCTTTACTGCAGTGTAATGTCATTCAGAGTTAACACCTTGAATGAAACGTGCTCCAGACTGAGGTTTAAAACTCACTTTTACTGAACAAATCTACAGTAATAAGATTAAATGTTGTCCTCGTGTCTTTTTAAAGCAGTGCCTTGCCTGCTGTCATTTGGAATCTTGCATTTGTTCTACAAAACATGAGAATTTGCTGAGAGCAAAGAGAAGGACAGATGAACACAGACAGAGATTCTCAGATGTATTTGTGAGATTACTAAGATGTTGGCTTCTTTTACAAATGAACTGAATTTAATTAAACCACCTTAAGCTTAAAGAGAGAATCTCTCACCAACTTTTCAATGTGAAAATGGTCTACAACCAGCTCAGAATATTTAACTATACGTTCCATTTGATTTGGTGTTTTAAAAAAACAACTCTTATTATGGTAAGTAACTAGATGTAATTGCTGAAAATTACACATAGTTACTTTTTGCCACTGCCGTCACTTAACGAAGCAGTGCGGTACACTGCAGCCTTTGTTATTTTGTTCTTTAATATTTTCCGTGGTTCTCTAAATCTTGATTTTTTTGTTCACCTGCAGCTTCTTTACTTTTACTTTAAAACTTTTGCACCACATCAGAGCGGATGTTTCAGAATCAAGCCTTCAGTGAGGAGACACTGAAGCCGAAATTTGATCACAGACTTTCACTTTGCATGTTTCGTTCTCATAAACTACTCAACGTGAAAGACTGAGGAAGAGAGTAAAGAAAAAGAGGAAGGAAAAAAGCATCAGGAGGAAGGAAATGAGATAAGAAATAAATGCTTTTAGGAAACCGTCATTCAGTGAGACAGGGAAGAGCCTCTGTGATGAGGAGGTAGGGAGGAAGCGAAGGAGACTAGGGAAGGGGATGAAGCGCAGGGAGGAGGAGTAAATCAGTGTTGGAGACTGACGCGGAAGAAGAATCAGCCTCGGAAAAGGAAGAAGAAACCCGAAATGAAAGCAGCCCCCCCGTCAGGGGGACTTCACACTTGTTGATTGTCGTCGGTCTCCAGTACTGAGGCGCTTTTTGGACTTCTTTTCCACCGATTTGTTGTGTCTTTCTGTGGGCTTGGACCGGCTGTTTTGGGGGTGCCTGGCTGGCTGAGTGATCGCTGAGACTGAAAAGATCACCCATCCATTTCACAGACTTCACGCTGCTGCGGACACACTCGGCATCCAGTTCTGCCCGATCGATATTTCATCATTTATTCATCCACCTTCCTTAGCAGGGAGCTTCGGGAAAGTGGCCGAGCAGGGCGCCCTGTCCTCCGCGCTGCGCCGCTGGGTGGCACCGCTGTCTCCGGGCGGAGGGTCTTTCTGATCGCGGGGATCGAGAGCAGCAGACGCCGTCGAAAAGGATCGAAAATCCAGTATTAATCTCTCACTGGAACAGCTGTCGTGTATTTTGGAAGAGTGGCTGGTCGATAAATGTGCAGGGAGTTTGTTTTTTAACGAGCCTGTGAGGCGGGATTCTCAGACAGCACACCGACCTCGGCGCCCTTTCCGCCGGGCAGCACCGCTGGCTCCAGCCGGTGCGATGACCGACCCTCCACGGGGCGACACCGACGTCACAATCGCCATAAACTAAGCCGTGAACTGGTGGCCTGTTGTGTGTTTTAGGACCTGGATAATTATCTTCCAGAGCGAGGGGGAAAGTCCAGGACACACACCGAGCACGGCGCCCTTTGCCGGGCTGCGCCGCTGTGTTTGGCCCGGTGGGATGTCTCTCCACTACGGGTGAACTACTTCCTAGACATCCAGCCCTTTTGGCACCAGAAGTTACCGCTGTTGAACCCCGTGTTGTCGCCCTGCTGTTGGGAAGTTTTTATAAGAGGGGGGGCAGGAGGACATGGCGGACTCCGGCCGGCCCAGACCGGCGGACCCTGATGCCGCAGAGAGCCGGACAGCGAGCCCGCTGGCCGGGAAGAAGAGGGCGCAGCAGTCCCCCGGACTCCGGTCCAAGTACCAGAGCTCTGCACCGGGTCACTGCTTTAAGAAAGTCACCCTGACCAAACCTACCTTCTGCCACAGCTGCAGCGACTTCATCTGGGGGATCATCGGCTTCTTGTGTGAAGGTAAGACAGCAAATATGCTTTATTTATCGGGGTCATTACTTATGCACGAGATCAAAGTTCAGCTCGTGAGCTTCGCAAGCGCACATGCGGTTCTCCCCGCGGGAACCGAACCAAGCCTGAGCTGAGGTGTGTTTAACAACGTGATGAACCCGACTTACACCGATACCTGCCCCGGACACGGAGCTGATCCGCTTGAGGAGGCCAGGCTGGATCCCAGACCGTATCCCAGTCCGACCTCAGGCTGCAGCTGGAAACTTTTACAGGATAATGTGTGGTTGCTCTAAAAGTCTGTCTGCATGCACCAAAACATGCAACATCTGCAGTTAACCAACACAGACAAGGGCCCATTTGTTCCCTTTTTCCTTTCCTGTTCATTTTCTTCCTCCTTTCCTTCTCCTTGCCTCCTCTTTTCCTTTCGACACATCTTAATCATGAATTGGGAGGAGAATCAGAGAGTACATCCAGCACACCAACACAATTCAGTCTGCCCAGTAACACACTGGTTTTGCATAGTGTGTATGTGTGTGCACTTAAGTGTGTGTGCATGTCTAAAGGAGGCAAAGTGTCTATGGCACAATTGGAGCTTCAGTCAAGTCGTGATTTACTTCCTGTGGTTGTCATGGCAACAGGAGACTGGCAGGGATGCTGGTTGTTGGAGGGGTGTGAGTGTGTGTGTATTTGTGCGTCTCTGTGTGAGTGAGAGCAGAGACCATCCTCTTCATCACAAGCAGCATCAGATGCATTAAAATGTGCAGCAGCGCTTCTGCTCACTTACGTAACCTTTCTTCTTTAAGCCGTCACTTGGATTAACACAAACCAGTGATGTCATCAAATTGCCTAGTCCGCTGCGTTGTTAAAAGCCCATTTTCATGTTTCCCTTTACCTTTATGTAAAAGGTGAACCGAGTGGACTCTGACCTCCGTAGTCTTTAGTATAGAGGTCACAAGGTCAATCAGGTGAGCTACAGCGGCGCCCTGGAGATGACTTCTTAAACCTGCATTTGTTTTAATGGCCAGTGGGGAGGGGGTGGGGCTGCATGACAATCACAGTGATGGCGTGCAATCGAGTGAATAAGACATCAGTCACACAAGCTTGGAGAGCGGTGGAGTGGTTGATGGCTGAAGCCTCAGTCACACAGGGCTGCAGACCAATCAGTGACCCCCTGGCAACCACCTGTTGCTAGGGAAAAGCATGTATTCTCCGACCAGTTGGCCAAAGCCTGGCTGTGATTGCTTTGGTAGCGAGGATATTGCTGCAGTCACTGTTTGATGGACTTGTGCATAAACACTGCCCAGCTGCTCAGGAGCAGGAAACTGGAAACTGTGAACACAGGAAACACGGGCTGTTTACCTTCAAAATAAAAGCTCACCTTTTCAAACATGTTGGCTTCAGCGTTGAGGCACAATTTTAATTTCTGTTTACTGCCACTCGGCATGTAGTTGGCGAGCGTTTGCAGACGGACGTGAAACCTGCTGGCAACCACACAAATCATCCAGCTTCACCCAGCACGGGCCAGCAACCTCCAGGAGTCGCCGCCAACCAGTCACTGAATGCACGTTTCCATAACAACCAGTGGTCTTATCACGTCCAGGGTCATTATAAATAATTAAAGTTGACATGAAATAACATTTTTGTTGAGTAAAGTTTAAACAAACGTAGAGGACCTCTTTGTATCTGTTTGGTAAAAAAAACTCTGTAGATGTTTAAGGAAATTGATGCTTGGCTCCTTTGACCTTTAACCTCAGTGGACTCTTTCCTGATGAGTTTGTTGTCTCAGTCACTGTTTTCAGCTTTTATTGAATAAAACATGAAGTTTATTTTGTAAAGTGGGGTCCCATCAGAGTCAGAGAGCAGGATGCGTGTGGTTTACTCGGTTTCTCAGTCACATCTACCCCTCGCTTGCCACAGCCAGTTTCAAAACATCAAGATGGCTGTAGAACAGGACTTCACCAACCGAAGGGTGATGTCACAATGGCCACATCCATCTTATATACCATATATGTCCGTTTACGGCTGTGACTGCAGCAGTAAGTGAGCTAAAAGCAGAAAAAATAAAGTGAGCACAGAGCACAAAGGGCAGCCTGGATTACTGTACATACACTGAGCTCATTATGAGAAACTGTGTGTAAAAGGAACGGCCACTGCTGGGACAGGAGTACAGATCAGAATAGATCCCGTTTTGGTTACGTATCTCGGTGAAAACACGGGGCCGCGACGGCGGCTGTTCCTTTGTGACCAGAGCTGCTGCGAGTGCTTATCACACACTGCTGTAATTTACATGTTTCCAGCGGCAGCACCGCCAGGAGCCACGAGCACCGACTTCTTATAAAAGACGGTTGCAGCCACCATGTCACACACAGGTTTGCACGCAGCATTCAGGAGCCTAAACTTTGACCTTTTGGCTGCTACCATATTAGTTTGTTGGAACAGATAGAAAAGCTATAAAAGAGCAGGACACTGATCAAACGTTCAGGCTGCAGAAGGTTTTTTTTTTTGTCTGTCCAACATTTAAAATAACTGACTGATTTAAAATCAGTCAGTGAAGCTGCAGGAAGCAGAGAGCGACTGTCTGATAAGAGTCAAGTATGAACGTTTGGATTGACATTATCATCAAAAATTCATTCAAACTGCTCCTCATCAAACACATTAAAGTTTTAGCTGTGATATCGTGGACTCTGAGCAGTCATTGCTGAGTCACCGGCTGTGAGAAAGTGCCTTCATCGGGGCTGTTAATGACCCGCCGGAGCTCCTGGACAGGAAAAACCTGACTGATCTCCTCTGGCCTCGGTCTGCCACTCTGTGCTGGTTGTCTGGATGGTGTGCACAGACGTGCTCGCCTGCAGCAGGTTTTATTGTTCAAACTGGCCAGAGTGAACATTTGAGGTTTACCACAGTGTGACAGCACAGGCAACAACACGCACACTCACTAAATGTCACTTCAGCACACACAGCGAGAGCGGACGAGGTGCAAACGTGACCAGCAGTCATCCAGCTGACAGCTTCCTTTCTTCTTCCAAACACATTTTTATTGTTCGCTCTCACGGTGTCACGGCTCCACGCCGCATCTCTTCCACCGGGCGCTCGAGTGAAAGCGTTCTTATCTGAGCGCTGCAGGGCTGCGGGGTGGATGGGCGGGTGGAGTATTGGAAGTAAAAGCAGCAAGAACAGATCAAAGGTTTCTGCTTTTGTTTAACTCTATTTAACTCGGCTGAATTTGGAGGCAAATACAAGTCAGTACCTGAACTCTGACCCCCTCAGAATCAGCTGATGTTTTTTTATGTGCAATATCTTATTTACTAAAGCAGCTCAAAGGTTTACCCTCATAGTGTGAGTATTTTCAGAGTCGCGGGCCTGTGAGGGACACAGAGGGTCCAGATTTGATGATTTTTAATTGTTTTCAGCATTTTTGAGCTCTCATAACATCAGGAGATATCCACGAGGTTATTTGAGGCCTGAAAAACAAATTTAAGTTGGGTAAAAAAAACCCAAATCAACTTTTTACTGATGGGAATCACCAGACACCCCACGGTGGGACATTATCACTGTACGACTGCAATACTGTCAGTTATTTTTTTGCTTTAAAAATTGTGAAGCACAAACAGACCGAGTTTATAGAAGAAAGGAGGTCGCCGTCCTGTTTTTACTCGCGTGATGAGCTATTAGCTGCTCTGAATTCAGACTTGTCTTCGTCGAGCTCAGCGTGTCCAGCTTTGGATGGTTTTTCAGTTGTGGCAGTTTGACGTAAGGCTATCTCAGGACACTGGTGCATGAGACGAGCCCTCTTGTTTGTAGTTTTATCATTTGGTGTCCATCTATCCACACGATATGACAAAATATCACGATACTGTGCTGATTTTTCTTTTACTTTTTACCCACTCCAAGCGTCACAATCTGAAGACAAAATCAGTCTTTTTGTTCGGTGCCGCTTTGTCTGCCTGTGAGCATCAGTATCGTATCATAGTTTCAATAAAAGGCTTTAAAAGTTTAACGTCAGGCAGAGGAACAGAAACAAGCGTCGGTGCCCTGCATGTCCGAGCTGCTTTCTGAGAAACCCCCGAGGTGTGCTGGAGGTAACGTCAGCTGTAATGAATTAAGAAAATCGTGCTCCAGGTGAAAGTGATGGTTTGCAAAATTGCACTGAAACTTTTTGAATCTGTACCTGTTTAATTCATGCCGTGCTTTTTTATTTTTTTTTATGTTTGTGCGACGGCTGTATTTGTGTTAATGCCTGCTGCACACACGGTTTACCACTGAGATGCAGAGATTATCATATAAATATCATAAGAAAAAGCATCTCTTTAACAACAACTCAGAAAGCCGAGAGAAACCCCGACAGTGTTAATGGTCTCTGACTGTGCTCCTCTGTCTCCTCCTCAGTGTGTAACTTCATGTGTCACGAAAAATGCCTGAAGACGCTGCGGAAGGTTTGTTCCTCCATGACTCCGTCTCTGGTCCAGGTGAGTATCCAACATACGCTCATGCTCCAAACTCCAAATGAGCCAAAATGCGTCACTACAGACACGGGACAATGTTGGCCCGATGCGTCTGGAGTGGGAGCAACGAGAGTAAAAACAGGAGGAAGGTGCTGTGTGAGAAAACAGAGAATTTACATTTATTTCACAGCCAGTTACTAGTCCGTACAGACATTTGCACATCTATAAAACCTTCCTGCATTGAGAATACAAAGCAAACGTCGCTACAGGATGTTTTCTGTAACATACACGTGGTAGTTGGTTCGGATTGGAACCGCACCGAGACCATCTCCTCCAAAATGTCTCAGTGTCGTTGTTTTGGTTCGCACCCGTTTTAAACAGACTAAACACTGCAGGTGAGGAAACACCTTTACTTTAATCTCTGGACCCCAGTCCGGGAGCCAATGGGACGAAGGCAGGGATCCCCAGACGTGATGAGATGGGGTTTATTTTTACACCTTGCAGGGCTGAACTTCTTTAGGCATTACCCATCAGAGAACGAGAATGCAAACACGATCAGATCAGAGATCAGCCGGCCTTTAACCGACCAGCTCCCCGGTCCAAATGCAATTATGCTGATGTGCTCAGCTGAGAGTCTGGTGCATTTACTTGTAGAAAGTAGGCGCCATGTGCGCTGCCTCCTGCACACTACACCCATGCATCCACCCGCATCTAAACCACACAGAATATTTCCAGTAACATGAAAGCATCTGAAGAGGACTATTTCCTGCTCGCTGCTGCATGTGAGCGAGGAAAACTGGAGAATATTCCAGTCTGATTCTCACAAATGTGTCATGAAAAGTTCAGCTGCGAAAGTGGCTTTATTGTAACCTCTAAGTGAGAACTGACTTTTTATGTAATTGTGCAAACAGGAGACTAAATCACACTGTAAGCCACAATAAGACTAATAAGCTGATGTTACACGGTTACACGGTATACCGTGTATACACAGTAGGTTAGGATCTTTGGCTTTGTGTTCACAGCTTAAAGAAAAGTTCAAATATTTATTTAAACTAACAAGTAAACAGTAATTTAATATTTCACAATAAGGATTTCCAGCAGTCCATGTTTGTCAGTCCGCACGCTCAAGTGGTTCAGAGTCGCTTAAGTTCAGGTGTGTGTGTGTGCGTTTGTGTATAGCATTTATTGTTAGCAGTACTACCCAGGTAGTGTGTTATATTGAGCTCTCATAAGCCAATCTGTCCAGAAGCAACGCAGCTTGCATCACAGGTGGATTAATTTGTCTTACTCGCACAATTTCATTTGATTTAATTCACATTTTCTCGATTGTGAACAGCGGCCACATGAATCCACCACTTACTGAATTGCGAGAATGCAACTCATTGCTACAAAACGTGGCTGCAATGTAATTTATACAAAGACCGCTTGTACAGTACATTAAACTTACTTCCTAGCTTACTTAGTACTTAGAAGTACTTCCTTCCTACTCTAAGCTCACAAGTAAATAAAAAAAAAAATAATACAACACTTAAAAGAAAACTAATAGAATTTACATACTTAGCTAACAGGACTTAGCTAGCTGTTAGCACTTAGCTAACAGCTAGCTTGTTATGCTAATTATCCTTAAAAATAAAAACAGAGGTATATCTGGATCAAAACAAAAAGTGTTCTCATTTACCAACAAGCAGAAGAGTAAAAGCCAACTTTGTATCTTCAACCATAACTTTTTAATCAGGACTAAAGAAAAAAAAAACTCCAGATGAGTTGCTCCAAGAAGCATAACTAGCATCAACGTTGTTTTCCTGCGCAACTCAAATTCACAAGCACCACACAGTGTCATAGTGCCACCTGCTTGCATTCCTTGAGTTAATTTTATCAGGCAATTTTTGTGAGTTAGGGTTGAAACAAAATGCTTATTTTCAAATCCGGACCTGAACCTCTCACAGACCACCTGTCCACTCTTTAATAAGTATGTCTGTCATTGTCTCAGGATCTAAGTGACATTCAGAGCCCTCAAAGAGTCTGTTTACTGTAAATAACAGTTTAGAAACCAAATCAGAGCAGGGATTTAGCTTCTGCTGTGGACTTTATCACTCTGTATTGTAAGAAATGAAAAGCTGCAGAGACTTCATTGCACTGAAACAAGTGGATAATTGTGCTTCCAGTGAAGGTGACATTCTAGAAATGGCCCATGGTGAGTGAACAAACTCTACCCAGCAGAACAAACCAGACATAATCAGCCAACAAAGTTATAAAATGAAAGCAGCAGACCTGCTTTGTTCTGTCAGCTTCACAGTTTGCTCTCCAGCCCTTCTTTTTATTGTCTCCTTCACTTTTGCCGCCTCGCTGAAACGCTACACACGCGCCGACACGATGTTTATCGATCAGCACAGCACTGATCACTGAGCTTGACTAACTGCTGCACCGATCAATAGCCCTGCAATAAACACGAGCAGGCGGCAGCAGTGGTGTTTTCTCCTCACCTGCTTTTAATGTGAAATATCCTCAGGCTCCTTGTTATTGCTCAGGCAGCTCTTGGGTCAGGTTTAACTAAAGAGCGTTCAGTATTTCTACCCTCCGACCTGACAAGCAGCAGCTCCATTATAAGCACAAAAACGGCGCGGCACAAAAATAATCAAACAAAACACAAATGGAAAACAACAGCTCAGAGTGTGGTCTGTGTGGTGCTTCACGTAACATACTTTCACTAGACACACTGAAGTGTGATCCAGGAAGTCCAGTTTGGAGGTTTGGACACCAAAACACTCAGCTTACAGAAATATGATGGACAGTTACCAGATTATTATTACAGAAACCAAAACCTGAAGGCAGCAGGGTCCCTCAGAGGTTTCCTACATGACAAGTATCATCATGATCTTCTTATCACCTCTGATAGTCGACTGGTATCTGTGCTCAGTGCAGTGTTTGATGTTGCTGGCCACAACATTGTAATGAAGAAATTAGAATACGCAATTAGCATTAAAGGAAACGCACTGTACTAGTTTGAATTGTATTTATGGGATACTTCCTGGTATTTTGCATGCAAATTTTGTTGGAGATTTCCTCAATCACCTAAGGGTCTGTGCTGAAGCCAAACTTTTTACTTTATACATGCTTCCCTAATGTAATATTATTAGAAAACTATATATTTCTATGTAGATGATAACCAGTTATATTCATCTATGACATCATCTGACACAAGTCAAATTGTATTTCTCTCGATAATGAAATGTCGAACAGTAGAGATGTGCCATAGCAGAGTAACAGAAATGTGGTTTTACGTACATTCGGTACAAGTTTAAGATCATCTGAATCAGCATAACAAAATAATATGGTATCATCTGCGTATAACTTTACATAACACAGTGTCATCAATATAAAAACTGGAAAAACAACTGAACCCATAACTGAGCCTTGTGGGACACCGTTAAGCATTAGTTATCATTAATGTCGCCGACATCTCTTCCCAGCTCCACGGCTTTTCAGGGGCAAAAGTTTAAATAAAGCTCTAAAAAAATGTCATATATAAACATCAATGTGCACACACTAATAATAAGATAATGTGTAAGTAAATGATTAAAGCACATTCGTGGAGTAGAATTAAAACTTAATGTAAATACACTGTGAGCTGCCATACGGCTGCGTTCACGTTGTTCTGGGGTGTTTGGCTCTCTTGGATGTGATGCAGCTGCAGGCCTTCACTCTGCCCCTCATGTTTGAATGTTATCTTCTTACATAACCTGTCATGCCGCTTCAGTGGTGGCTCATTATAAATAAAGGATTTGGAAAAATGCAAAACTATAACAGATCCCTCTGTCCTGACGGTCTCTTTATTCATTATAAACATTTCCACTCGGTCATTACAGTAAAGTACACAAGCGACACTGAGCGAGGAGCGTTAAAGTGAAGGAAAAACAGAGCAATAAAATGCATTTAATCATTTCTTTTTAAGAAATGAAGAGAGGTCATTGGATCAAACATGGCAATTACAACAACAACAACAAATAACAGCCATGATATTTACAGCAACATTTGTAAGTCAACATAAAAACTGCAGCCAACAGCTGTATTTTGATGGGGACTATTTTAATCAGAGGAGCAATGCAGATTTACAGACTGTTTGGAGCAGCAGGAGCAATGTGCTGTTTTGTTTTTGGGATTTTGTTTTTTTAATTAAGCTCTGTATTCATGGACAGCCAATAGGCTGGAGGCTCAGTGTTGTGTTTACTTTGTCTGTTTGTTAACATACATTGCTGCTGCCCCCTGCAGGTGCCGGTGGCTCACTGCTTCGGTCCCGCCGGTCAGAAGAAACGTTTCTGCTGCGTCTGCAGGAAACAAACAGAGGGAAGCACGGCGCTGCGCTGCGAAGGTCAAACCAGCACCATCACCAAGTAGACCAGTGGATTAAATCTCATGAGTGATTTTTTTATTAGCGTGTGTGTGTGTTTGCGTGTGTGTGTTTCAGTGTGTGAGCTGCATGTCCACGCTGACTGTGCCATCTTCACCTGTGCCGACTGTCGCAGCTGCCAACTGGACGGGATTCTGGAGCAGGTATCGCTTTAAAAAATATCAGTATAAATATAAAGTGTTTCCAACAGTAAGCTGGACTAAAACTACGTAGGCCAATGCTACAGTTTTCAGTCTGACCTCATGGGGGCGCTACTGCCTCATGTTTCTTGTGCCTAAACTCGCAAACAGTGACACAGAAATGTCACTGAAGATGAGGACTTTCTCTATGACGTTCACAATCAGATCATAAAAGGGCCGAACCAGAGAAGTTCAGTCAGTTTGGTTAACAAACGGGCTCTTCTTAACTGGCACAGAGATGCTGTGTTAAGGCCGTGTGTTATGTTGTAATGCACAAAAACACCACCAGAGGGCAGGCTCTATAGGTGGAAGATGCAGCTGAGCTCAGCGAGCTGTGAAACATGACTGCTGGAAGTAGTTTAGAGTAGACTCCAGCTACGTGATCTATCAGTGAGCCGTTTGGCACATCGATCGCTTTAATAATTATTTTAGGTAGTTTAATAGTTTATTCTGATCCCTCACATCCATAGCTATGACGACTTTATTGTAGATTTTTATTGTATTTCTTTTTAAAATACTGACTTTGTTAGAAGTAACACAAGGCCTCTGAATTTATTCTCTTATATAATACCTGCTGCTCTCTGGTGCCAGCTGAACCCTCAGCGTCCACTCATCTCGCGGTTTTGGTTGGTGCTTGTGCAAACCTGAAACTGTGTCTAACTCAGTTAAAAACACAAACAGGAAATAAAGCAGTCTTGGTGGTCGTCTCAAAGTGTTCTGCATCAGTGTTCTCCATCTCTGTGCTCCTGCAGTGAGCGATCACTGAGACGTGCTGAAATGACCTTGTCTCTCACGCTTCATCCCTTGCTTTGCACGCGAGGTTACCAAAAAAAACGGGCGCATGGCAGGGATGCTCTGTCCTCTGGCATCTGTGACATCATTTTTTGTGACAACAATGAAAACGATCAGTCACTCCTTGAACTGAAGAGCAGGAGCTTGAGAAAGTTCATGCATCAGTATTTTCCACTAAAGGAGAGGGAAGTGTCACCAAATGCAGACTTTGTGATTAAAACTGCTGTGAATATTGAAGTGTAATACCATGTGCACAAGATGAGATAGTAGATATTTCCACCTTAAAAAACGAAAACAAAAATAATTGATAACTGAATTCCTACCTGACAAATTTTCTATAGTTTGAAATGTAGGTAGCGCCCACTGTGCAGCTAGTCTACAATAGAAACTGGGCTCTGTGAAGTAGTGATATTGATCAGGTCCAGTCAGTCTGACTTTAATCAAAGACGTTGTAAGACACTTCAATGAGGATGTCTGCTGTCGGTTCAGTGTGTGTAGCTCGATCAAAACCCATCGATCGCTCACAGTCTGGATAAAAAGTGAAAAGCATGAAGCTGATCTCCTGCAGAGCTGATGATGGCAGACAGGCTGACAACAACCCCGGGAAGCTGTCGTCGGGTTTCAGCCCATCTATTCACACAGTGCACTTTTCTTTTTCGGTGCTTTCCTCCTCACAAATATGACATTTCATTTTTACATCCTCCTCAATTAGCTGCGGCTGATGGGGACTATTTTTAGCGCTGGACTGAAACTCATTCTTTTCTTTCTGCTCCAGGATACATACCACCACCACTGGAGGGAGGGAAACCTGGCGTCAGCGGCAAGGTGTGAGGTTTGCCGGCGTTCGTGCGGGTCGTCTGACGTCCTGGCAGGGATGAGGTGCGAGTGGTGCGGCATCACGGTGAGAATCAGCGAAAAATGTGTCAGTGTTGATTTCCTCTAGGGTGGGGTTTAGGTTGGGTTTCAAGCAGCTCAAGTGCTAAAACATGCAGTGCCTCTAACGTCCAGCAGAGGCTCCAGTCCAGTCATGACACCTGTACAGTTGATGAATTAAATTCCATTAAGGTTTAAAGCTTCACCCCAGCTAACTGGAGTCCCTCCATTCCCAGACTATTCTCTTCCTAAATTTAAATTGAACCTCTTTGAGATCATTTAGCTGTCTCTGGTCCTGGTGATACAGAAACTGTTAACAAGTAAAGGTGATTCCTGAGTCTCCACAGATCCACCTTACCCCATAGACCAGGGGTGTTGAACTCCAGGCCTCGAGGGCCGGTGTCCTGCAGGTTTTAGATCTCACCCCGGGTCAACACACCTGAATCAAATGATTAGTTCATTACCCTCTGGAGAACGTCAAGACATGTTGAGGAGGTGATTTGACATTTAAATCAGCTGTGTTGTAGGAAGGACACATCTAAAACCAGCAGGACATCGGCCCTCAAGGCCTGGAGTTCGACACCTGTGCCTTAGACTGTATATATAAGTTTCTGGACTCAATATGAAATTTCAGCTGTAGTTTTTTGTGACCTCTTTGGGAACCAAGAGCACCCATATTTGGATCAGAGGGTGGCATGCGTTATCAGCTAAACTACCAGCTAATGCTAACTAGCTTGGTTATCAACCTAATTTACTTACTTAGAAATGCTCCAAAAGGCTCCAACAGCACAAACACAGTCCAGAGGTGCAGTTCAAGTGAAGCCCTGCTAGCAGCTAGCTGAACTGTCAGTCAAAGAGGCCACGCCCCTAATAATGTAAATTTTAACACTGTACAGGTGTTATGAAGGGGGGATTAGCTACAGATACTAAAGCAGTGTGTGTATCAGGCTGTAAACGTGTCTATTTCTGCTGTAAAGTTTTAACATGGAGTCTGTGGGGACTGACTCGCTGCTGGAGCCCCTTGTGGGCGTTAGAGGAACTGCAGGTTTTGGATTTGTCTTCCACCCTCAGACGATGAGGCTGATAAAACTCTGAGATCACGGGTGTTACATGATGTTTCACTTCCCTGAGCTTGGTGTGTGTAAAGTGACATGTTGCTTTCCCGCCTGCAGAGCCATGCAGCATGTTACCTCGGCATGCCGGCAGAGTGCACTCTGGGACGTCTGCGCTGCATGCTGCTGCATCCGGCCTGTGTCCGCCTCGACTCCAGAAACTTCAGCAAGATGCACTGTTACCGCATCGCTGAGAGCTGCAGCCACGAGCTGGGTATGCACACAGTGAACCCCGCCTTACAGAAAATGTTCACACTTCAAAAAAAAATAAAGATTTACATCATCGGGAGTTAATGGGAGGCAGGTCTGCACAGCAGGAGTGAAACAAACACACATATGCTCCTCCAGACCACATCCTTTGACGCTACTGACACAAACTGTGTGAACCGCAAACGCTCGGCTCGTTTCCTGACAGCTTCACTGCTGATCTGAGCTGTGAAACTGAAAAAAGATGTTTTTAAAGAAGTCAGGATGTGAATAGTGCAGACAAACATCCAAACGCCGAGAGCTGAAACACGAGCCCCTGCAGGTTTCAAAGGGCCAAATCGCAAAATTCACAAAAACACTTCAGGGTGTTTCTGTTTTCCAGAGAATTCTTCCAAAATAAAACTCTTAACAGCAAAACAAATCAAAGTCAGAGCTCAGGAGGCTGCGCGTGAAGAAAGGCAGCAAAGTCAGAAACAGCCAGAGTTCATTTTCATCCTCCAGACGATCTCCAAAGTCTCACAAGATCTGAACTCACTTTTCTACTCTGTTTGTAGAAAGAGTTGAGACACTGGAAATTAAATACAGAATTTGATGATTTTAAAATCTGTATTTTATTCACAATAGAACACAGAAAACATATCAAATGTGTAAACAGAAAAATAAGATATGAGCTAAAACTCACAGGTTGGTGAATCTCTGCCCATCGTTACTTCTGAGAAACTCTGCCTCTCTAAGATGCTCTTCTTATACCCGCTGTTTCTTTTTAGTATTACTTACGTTTCCAGCCTTTTCTTGCTGCGTACCAACATTTTGAGACTTGTTTCTGCCATCAAATTCAAATTGAGCTTATAATTTTTGGGAAATCTCTCAGTTTAAACATTTGTTCAATTGTGAATAAAATATGGGTCTATGAGATTAACACATCATTGCTTTGTGGTGGTTGGTGTTGTGCTTCTATGCTGAAACACCAACTGTTGTGGTGCTGTCAGAGTCCTTTTGTATTTTTTAATTGATTGCTGATGCTTTGAGTTGATGCACCTGTATGAAAGGTGCTGACAAATAAAGTCAAACAACAACTAACAGTAATAAACATGGAGCTGAGACAGACACAGCGGCCTCCTCACAGTGATTGTAAAGACGTTTGTCTTTTTCTTTCTTGGCTGGTGATATTCTATTACTTGACAAATCCACAAACTAAGATTTCAGACGTCAGGCTCTAAATGAGAATAAGGTGAGCTGCTGATCTGGGTCTGTTTCAGGTTGTTCCAGCTTGTTGAAATCTGATCAGGAAGTTCTGTGTCCAGTAAACTGTCTCACCTGACCGGCTCTTTTCCTCCATGTTTCCATTAGATAACTCCGATGATGCTGATCTCTCTGCTGCAGCAGCGCCAGCGTCCAAAGACGGTCAGCCGGCTGCCTCAGAGTCAGGTCGGTTCACCGTATGTCTGTATACAAGCTCCCTTTGTGTTTCAGAGGTTTTATTAATGACCGACTGGTGGATGATACAGCTGTGGAATAACATTTCTGCTTGCAGATGTTGCAGTCACATCTGGTTGTGTCTGGTTTGTTTACTGTGACCCACAGGTAAACAGTTTCTCAAGGTGTTTGATGGCGACGATGCAGTCAAGCGCGGTTTCTTCCGACTGGTCTCAATCACAAAGAATGAGGAAGTGGTGGTAAGGGCTCTGCTTCCTCCCAAAAACCTGACACACACACAGACACACACACACCAAGACAGGTACTACTACCTCTTCTACCACCGAAATCTCACACAACTTTCATGGAACACAACTTTCAAAATAAAAGCAGTGAGGTATAATTCTGTAAAAGCTATTTTTAGTAATATGACACAGAATGGTGTCAGAGGAATATCCCGAAAACCGTGACTAATCTTGCTTCTCAGTAAGACTGTGTCTAACTTTGACCTTGGTTGGATTTGAATATTAATTAAGGAAAGATTATGAAATGAAAAACCAGGATTTACATAATTAAATAGTTACAGATATGAAAGGCTTAAAACCCCCAAACTTATGAGTAAAGTCAAAATTATGGCGTAAATGGTTTAAAAACTTTTCATATACAAATTAACAATAAGTTACAATAAAAACAAATCAAAATTTGACTCAAACTTAAAAGAAAAAAACAAATCAATAAATTAGAAGATGACAAATGATAAAACTAAAAAAAAATAGTCAAATTTCTTTGATTAAAAAAAGTAAGAATTCTTTAAAAAAGTTTAAATTTTGTCCCAAAAACAGGAGAACAGTCAAAGTTCAGATTTTAAATCTTAAGTAAAATAAATTAAATAAATAAAATTCATAACTGTCAAATGAAAAGTCAACATTAGGTACAGCAATAATTGAGAATATGAAAAAAGATTATGAGCTAAAGAGTAAGGCTTTTAAGTAGTGACAAATTGAAACCAAAATAAAGACTGTAAACTAGAAAGTGAGTTAAATGCCTGAAAAAATATACTTCTTTTTAGGCATTTAAAAAAACAAACAAAAAACCCCCATAGCTCTATGATACCTGTGTTGTCCTGCAGGAGGCGGCGCTGAGGGCCTTCTACCTCCCCGACGACCCTCAGGACTTCGAGCTGCACGAAATCGGCGGCCCGCAGCGTCTGCACAGCGACGACATCCTGAACCGCAACGGCAGCCCGGACAACAGGAACTCGCTGAAGGACGGAGGCGACTCGTGGCTGCTGAGGGCAAAACCCCGAGTCACTGAGGTCATCAAGGTGTACACTGACTGGCCCAAGTGAGTTTAGTCAGGACTCTGTCCACCACAAGAAAGCAACCTTTTGTCATGTACTGTGTATAAGAGATGAACGTAGCCACTGTGATGTCACCCACTGGTTGAATCACGAGGTAGCCCCGCCCACTTTGATTGAATCAAAATTTCTGACATGATCATCGTCCTGTATATAGTCCTTCAAACGAATGACTAATGAGACCATAAACGTGTACAGCCACAGTTGTTTGCAGCCAGAGGAGTCGCCCTCTGCAGGTCATTGGATTTAATGCATATTTAAGCCCATCAAACCTGGAAGCTACGTCCACCGTTACACATAGAGTCCCTGGTTTTTGTCAACTAACTGTTTTTGTGTTTCAGGTCAGGCGTTGCTTTCATTTCGGTTTCCGTCTCAGACAGCAGCACGACGTCCTCGGTCCTCGCCGAGGTTCTCAGTAAGCTGGACAGACAGGTAAAATTACAAGTGTTAGACGCGTCCAGGCTAATATTAATGCCTGAATGAACATGAGCAGGACATTTGAGCAGTTTATACTTCAATCGGCAATTTGAGCTGTTTATGTAAGTTCAGCCCTGAAACCACTGATGGTGTCGATGATATGTGCGGTTTCAGGAGGAAGATCTATCAAAATTCTCTCTGCTGGAGGTCTGCATGAGCAGCAAGCAAGGTGAGAACTACCCGCATGAGGAAAAACAAAATCACATTTTGGTGACTGTGAAGAAAAATAACCCAACCTGCAGCTGACCTGGAAAACGAGTATGAGCACTGCGGTAGAGCACATATTAATGCTGACACGATGATGATGCGGTGTTATTCATATGTCCCTATTACATCGTTTATCACTCAATCACGGGCCTCTTTTCTACAGCTCGACCAAGCAGGACCAACTACAGGAACCATATTGTTCTTGTACAGATTTAAATCTTATTTTATTATCACTATTAATAAAAACCATTCATAGATTTAAGTTTTAAAAAAAAAGCTTTGTCTAGAAAAACAATCACTGATTTCAAGCTTTTCATAGAGTTCAGCATTCTGATGTATGAGCCACACCTATACGTCTACAATCTTTTATTTAATACTTATTTCTGGCGAAACTTTACACCGGAGTACCAGTATGAAGGTCAGAAATTGCAAGGGTAAAATTTTAATTGCAGATAGTTTAGATTACAAATTTATTTATGGTGAGAAAAAAAAATTTAAGTCACCGATTAATTTAATATAATATAATATAATATAATATGAATCAGGTCTTACAATCTTACTTAAATCTTACTTTGTACAGCCATTAATAAACAATTATTGAAATAGTTTTTTAAATAGGCTACGCCCATATTTGTTGCATTTCTGACCACGCCCCCTATTTTGAGATTGCCTTTAAGCCACACCCAATACAGCTTTTGATTTTCTTTTGTTTTATGTTAAACTTACTTTTTGAGACGCTCAGCCAATATCAAATTTCAGCCATGTTCTCAGAGAACATGCACGATCACAATGAAATACATTAGGTCTCTAGAACACGTCAGAGTGGGGTTTTTTTGTAGATCCATTTTTGAAGTGGTTCGTGGTCAGCGTGGAGCTGCTTCTGGCCCATGAATATTTTCAGCTCAGTTTAGTGTTTTGAATACTTCACCCACACCTGAGCTGCACACAGTACAAGCTGCTGTCATTCTCTTCATTTTAAACATTACGCACCTTCTTCAGCGCTTCTAAAACCATAAACCTGGACCTTAGAGCAGAGCGTGGAGTCTTGCCATGCTCTGCAGAAGCTCTATGTGATACCGGAGAAGGTCATGACCTTTCTGTCTCTGTCATCCAGTGCAGAGACAGACGCTGACTCCTCAGGAAAAGCTTCGGGACAAACTGCGGGAGATCAGGAAGGTAAGAGGACAAACAAGATTTCATGAACTTTCATAAATGCCAACGCTGAGAATAAGTGATGCATTTAATTGTTGCCTTTTGCACATCCAAAGATTAGTGACTAGCCACGTGTCTGAGGTCAGATTATATGAATATATTCGATTATATTCACCAAGTTAGGGTAAGGTTTTGGTAGCGCCTGCGTGTCATTCTGTCTGTAAACACGATAGCACAAAATTTTTTGAATGAATTCTGATAAAACTCTGTAAGAGTGCAGAGTGGGCTGGTGTTGGCGGTCCATTAGAGCTTGGCTTACATCCACTGAGGTCTTTAACTTCATGATTAATTGGTGGAAAACTGACTTAGAAAACATGGTTCAACATATAGAAGGTCTCGTCCAACATAATTTGACCTCTGACCTCTCCTACAAGGTCAGTAGATTGATGTGAAGGTCACAGTGGTAACAGGAATATTTACAGCTTTCTAAAGCTACGTTTCCATTGTTGATTGTGTTTATGGTGGAGTGAGTACTGTCAACAAAAAGAGGATGAGCTGCATAGTTAAAAGTATTCTGCAGTATAATGTTGTATAAAAAGTTCTGTTTATTGTCCTGTTATTTACAAATCAGTATTTATTATCCGTTACCAGCTCCTACATAATGTTTGCTACGCTCACCACAAACCTCTTGAAGTATGTTTCATAAGAACAAAGAAAAGAAGTGTTTATGAGCGTTTACAGCTCAAACACAGCATGAGGAAGAAGTGCACCGCAGCCTGCTGATGCTTGATGTGTCGACAGATTTAGCCACACTGACCTCGGGGTTGTTGGTACACAGCATCGTTTCACTTCTCTTTTTTATTTTGATTATACGCTTTTAACACCCAGCTTTAGTCTGGAGTTTAATTTTAGTTACTGTAGTAACTCTGACAGAGACACGTGTCACTAAAATAAACATCACTTTTTTTCTTCTTCTTTTTTTTGCATTATTATTATTATTATTATTATTATTATTACTTTAGTTGCAGGTATATAAGTCTGCTAAGCTGGATATCCGAGCTGCAAATATAAACATTTTTACAGTATAAAAATAATGGTTTCTGCAGAGGGTGACACTCTTTGGTTTCTCTGTGGCAAAGCCGCCAGCATCAGTTAGCTGATTCTGCTTCTTTCGGCGTCTCCTGCTGTGCGTGGTTAGGATCTGCAGTCCTCGCAGGGATTTCAGTCTCCTCTCGCTGTCAGACGTTTCCATGTGTTAGACAAACGTGTTAACCACTCCACTGTGGAGCCACTCGTTATTCAGTTTGCAAAATTCATCTGCAGGTGTTTACATAATCTTTTATTTTGTCTGCATGTTTTCTGTTTTTGTGACCATCGAGAGGGAGAGGGAGGGGAAACGTAGAGATGACGGGCAGGTAAAGGTCGGGGACTCGTGGTCTGCATCCTAACCGCTTGCCTCGAATTCAGTGAGCTTTGTGGTCATTCCTGCGTAGTGCCTCAGTTAGATCGTAACCATAATACAGAATAAAAAGATGGTGGACGCACCCTGACGTGGTGATGTGGCGTCGCGCTATGTGCAGGTGTCTCTGCGGCAGATGAATCAGACTCGGTTCTACATCGTGGAGAACAAGAACCGGGCGGTGCGGGTGGAGCTGCTGATTGGAGGGCTGCCCCCCCTGCTCACCACAGAAAAGTACACGCAGCTGATCGAGGAACACCTCGCCATCAAGAGTGAGTCGCTTTAAAAAAACGCATGCTTTCCTTCTGTGGCGCCCTCTGGTGGGTGGATGTGAACCAAACGTGATTAAAGCGTGTGACGAAGTTAAAAAGTGAAGCTCTGTTGTGTTTTTATTTAAACCGAAGTTTTATGTTCAGGCTCATTTCCCCTTAACTGTTAATTTCAGGTTTAATTCTGCCGCTCTGACTCACCTGTCCTCCTCTTCCTCTCTGCAGGTCACCTGGTCACCATCAGCAATTTCTATCTCAATCAAGGTGAGTCGTCCGTCATGAAAGCAGCCTGCTGGGCAGGTTTGAGGACACATGTAGTCTTTCCTGGCCTCCTCCTGCTCAGATCACCTTCTGTAGTTTTCACACTGGTTCTGTCCCACGAGGACTTCTTGTGTCCTTATGGGTAAATAAATTTGAACACATCTTACTGAATTTATGTCAGAAGAAATCTGTGAACTGCAAGCTAACCATGGTGAGAGTGGGAAGCAGGACTCGAGCGTCGCCTGATGGACAGAGACGGATAAATACATGTTTCTAAAGAGGACGGGACTCTCTCTGAAATGCGCTGCTGTCCAGATCAGTTAAATGGTCTTCCTGACTCACTGACGCTCACTTATGAGGTGTGATCAGAAAGTTCTGGGGAGTTTTCCATAAAAATCTAAAATCTCTTTTTCAAGGTCATCTTCAGGTGCAGCTGAACTCCTGTGGTTTGTTGAAATGGTGACTCTTCAGCTGTATTTTTCTCTGTGCTCAAAGGTGCAGTGAGGTAAACCTGCTGAGCAGGTAGGGTGCGTTGAACACTGCGTTGAGTGGTGGCATCATTGGCGTCGTTTCCTTCGGTTTTCTCCGTCAGAAGTCTGTGTTCGCTGTGCAACCCTGGGGGACAAATATTTAAAGAAATGATGATAACGCTGACGGTCACACTGCTGGCCCGATGAACCTCAAAACCATGACTTTGTATTATTTAAGAGCAAATTCTTTCTGATCACACCTGGTTTCCTGTCTCAGTGATGAATGTTCATATTTAACACAGTCAGAGTTTCTAATGATGAGCTCAGTGCGTACAGATCCCACAGCTCAGCCTTAGTATGCTCTAAACACTTGGTTTCAGTTGGCTTTTTGTACCATTGGCTCTATATGATGTCACAAAGAGTTATATTCCTAATATGGTCATCTCAGACCTACATGCTCCACCCCCTTCTGTTTAAACCTATAAGGTATGGCTGTCTTAGAAGAAAGTTAGCAGCAGCTGATTTGAGATAAACTGAGGGTCTGAGACATTAAACTCAGATTTTTCCTCTGTGTGTGTGTGTGTGTTGTAACAACCCTTTTGGGTTATAGCACCACTAGGGGGGGTTGCCCTACTGTTGTAGTAGTTGTGGGGGTCTCCTAGTGGGTGTGTGTTGTTAGCGGCAGCCATTCCATGCTGCTCATGTTCCATTGTCCGAGGAAACACCTTACTGTTGTAACGGCCTGGCGCCGACGACTACCGAACCCCGCACATGTATGTATGGACAGAGTAGAGCCGTGGAGACCTGGCTTGTATGGTCTTATGTTGCTGATAATGAATAAAGGTCTGTTGTTTAATTTAATTGACTGGCTTCGAGTTATCCGGCTAACCTCCACACCACATGCCCGCTGGACCTGCTAGCCGCTCCTTCCTTGCCAGACTGCTGTTACAGTGTGTGTGTGTGTGTCCAGGTGCGGTGGTGTTGCAGATCTCGTGTTTCGCTGAAGCGGAGAGGATCTACATGCTGACTAAAGATACTTCGATCAACAACAAGACGCTCACCTCGCTGGTCATTCCGGCGATCACGGTAACTGTTGTTCAAATACGCCTCATTAAACTCAGGCTCTGCGAACACACTCTTAGCACGAGGAGTTTTGGTGTCTTCTTACCGAACCGAGCAGATGTAATGAGGCTGCGGTGCTTAAAGAGCTCCAGGAAAATCTCTGGAAACAAGCACACTGAATAAAACCATTCAGCTTCCAGATGTCTCTTACCTCTGCCCAACATCTCACCAGCATCGGGTTTTCCTTTCAGCAGAACACGCTGGGAGCAGACGTGTGTCCTCTGCTGGTGTTTGTCAACCCGAAGAGTGGCGGTCTGAAGGGGAGAGAGCTCCTCTATGGTTTCCGGAAGCTCCTGAACCCTCACCAGGTCTTCGACATCATGAACGGAAGCCCGCTGGCCGGGTGAGGACAACAGCACACCTCCTCGGTGAAAGCAGAGGATTTTCCGACGCCGTCACTACTTATTTTATAGAAAAAAATCATCACTGTAGACACAGCAGTGGGTTTGCAGTTAGCAGATCTCTTCTGATTTCTGGTGAACTTTTCGCCTCACTGGAACCATAACCAGCAATAAATTTACTTAGAGACGAATTATTGTTATGTACCCCTTCATAACACCTGTACAGGGGGACGTTCTATAACTCACCTTACAGTTTAATTATTAGGGGCGTGGCCTCTGTGACTGGAATAAATGTGCTGTTGGAGCCTTCTGGAGCTTTTTTAATGCAGTTATCTGACCAACCTGCTGTGAGGTTAACTATTTCTAGGATTTTATTTGGATGTTTTTTTTGTTTATCTGTGTCGTGTCTAATTCAGCTAGCTATCATTAGCTGATAACTTAGCTCCACTTCTGGGAGCCAAATATTGAGATAATATTAAGGGTTCAAAATGGTGGAAACCAGTGGGTTTCACATGTAGTGTGTGACACTTACTGGCAAACCTGGCAACATTTCCATCAGTATGCTGCAGACCGGATTTATCACCATCAAAGTTAAAAGGTGATACAAAATGACGTTTGCCTGTTTATTTATGATGTTATTGTTATAGTTTGTTAGTAATTGTTTAGGTTTTAACCTAATTTTTAAAATTTGAAACAGAAGAAAACTGAAGTGGTTGTGCTTTCTAGAAAGAGTTGCAAACAACCTCAACGCCATGCAGAACAACTGAAAATAAATATAAGACTGCAGGGGGATGCGACAGAGTACAAAGAGATGAGAAATTACCACAAAAAAGACACAAAACAGCTAACGAGAGCCACAAAAACCATTGCCAAGTAACATAAAAGCATCTCACGGAGCCACAAAAAGCTGAAAAAAAAAGCATTGCAGATTCAACCCAGCAGCAAACAGTGAGGCTGCTTCCAGTCTGGGCAGGTAGTCTGTGGAGGGGTACCAATCTCCTAAAGACATTTGTGAAGTTTCAGTCGGTGTCAGAAATGTTCACCTCGTTTTAAATTGTGGTCATCGCAGTAAAACTGTCTCTACTGTTCGCTCTGCAGCCTGCACACGTTCAGGGAGGTTCCCCGGTTTCGGGTGCTGGTCTGCGGGGGCGATGGGACGGTGGGCTGGGTGCTTGGAGTGCTGGAGGCTGTAAGGCACAAACTGACCTGTCGCGAACCGCCCATCGGCATTGTACCACTAGGAACAGGTGAGACCAAACGCTGCTCCTTTTATTTGTTTTCTAATGCAGAGACGAGTTCCTGTTGAGTCGATTTGGGCACTTGGCAGTTTTTAACTTGCTGGTAAACAGTTGAGTTTGATTTGTGTCCTGTCAGGTAACGACTTGGCTCGTATCCTGCGGTGGGGTCCAGGTTACAGTGGTGAGGACCCTTACCACATCCTAGTGTCGGTTTATGAGGCTGATGAGATTCTGATGGACCGCTGGACCATCCTGCTGGACGCCCAGGATGTCTCAGAGGATGGCAAAGAGAACGACTTCTTGGAGCCACCCAAGGTCCAATCCAAAAGCATTATCATTATTAGATTAAGAGATAAAACATAATTTCCAAAAACCTGAAACATGTTCGTGGTCTAGACTTTACAACCAGGCAAAAGTCCATGAACTAACAATGGTCATGGTTAGTTCAGATGCATCTGTAACAGCTGGAACAAGAAGTTCCACTGACTGCTTCCCGAAAGCCAATCAGCTGAAAACATCCTGCAGTCTGGTCATTCTCCTGATGCCAGAAGTGAAGTACAAGCTTGTTGTTGCCATTTGATTCAGTTTCAGCTGCTCACAACTTTCCTTTCATACAGAACAGAAAGGATCTGGACTTCCTGGGAGTTTTGTTCATGTTAATTTGTTCCAGCTATCAGCTGAACTTTGGAGGGAGGTGGTTTTTCTCCTGGTGTGTAGAGGGGCTATGATGTCATCCAAAAACACTCCACTGATGTTTTTGCACAGCTGATGCCAGAGCGAGTTAGGAAAAACCCATAAACCCAAACAAACTGTTTGTTAATTTTAAGGATATCTATGAACTCCACAAGCTACGATAGTTTCCGCTGCCAAGGTGGAGCCCAATGGTGGTCGATGATTGTTTGACAACAAGATTATGCACAAATTTCACAGAACCCGAAGGGAGGTGGACAGGACACCTCCCTTCAAAGTAAAAATGTAACAAGCCGTTAAATTTTGGGATCACTTTAGAGAAAAAGTGAAATAAATCATATTAGCCTCGGTGGAGATCTCGGTTCTCTGGGTATCCCTGTAGTTCTTTTTGTTTTCACAAGTTAGGGTTGGTTTAACTTCGCTCAGGTTGTGGATGTTTCCGTTTTTTATACAGATGCTGTGGTGGAAAAAATGGATAAAAGTATCATGGAAGTATCTGTCTTTCCCTCAGATTGTCCAGATGAACAACTACTTTGGTCTCGGTATCGACGCGGAGCTCAGCCTCGACTTCCACCTGGCTCGAGAGGACGAACCCGACAAATTCACCAGCAGGTGAAAATTTATGAGAGAGCCAGAATTTTGTGGTCGATTGTAATTTCCCATTAAAGTTGACGCTTTATGAATAAGAGATACGATTGTTTTCTAGTTGACATCTAGTGGTCATCAGTGGTATTGCACTTTACAGAAAGTACTGGTGCGTGTTTCTGACAGTGAAGACCACGTTTCCAATCAGCCCTTTTGCTTCCTGTCTTCCACAGGTTTCATAACAAAGGTGTGTATGTGAAGGTAGGCCTGCAGAAGATCAGTCACACCAGGAGTCTCCACAAAGAGCTGCAGCTTCACGTGGATGGGCAGGAAGTCCCATTACCCAACATAGAGGGGCTAATCTTCCTCAATATACCAAGGTAACACAGACACACACACACACAGACACACACACAGACACAGTCTTGACCTCACGTTCATCTTCTTGTGTGTAGTTGGGGTTCAGGTGCTGATCTCTGGGGGTCAGAGGTCGACAGTCGCTATGAGAAACCCAGCATCGATGACGGCCTGTTGGAGGTGGTTGGGGTCACAGGGGTCGTCCACATGGTGAGACAATTTAGAGTGAAGAAGTACAGACTGGTTTTATCCAGAGGGTTTACCACACTGTGTGTGTGTGTGTGCGCAGGGCCAGGTGCAGAGTGGTTTCCGTTCTGGGATTCGCATTGCTCAAGGGAACTACATCAGGCTGACATTGAGGAAACCGATACCAGTCCAGGTGGATGGAGAACCGTGGATCCAGCCGCCGGGACACATCATCATCTCTGCTGCTGGACCAAAGGTACACTCCGTTTGTCCCTGCACGGCTTCCGTAGTGTTGGTTTTTTTACTTTAGTGAGTGTTTTTTTCCATTTTTATAGAAAATAACATTTGAACATAAGACAACAGAAGAAGGACCGACCAAACAAAAAAACAGAAGGGGGATTAGGCCATCTAGGTAGAAGTTTGACATACACAAGGTTACAAGTTGAAAATTATGTACAACTCAGATACATATTATTACCAGAGGTAATACAAAGGAATACCACAAGGCTCTAGAGTAATTTCTCAGTAAGAAAACATTTACATTTCTTCCAGTATTTTTCACATTTTTCTGAGGACAGTCTCAAGGAGGTTAGTCGCTCCATAACGTGAATTTCGTGTGTTATTTCTGTCCAGTCCGAAACAGTTGGAGGTTCCCCATTCAACCACTTGCGAGTTATAGTTTTTTTGCTGGCTGCCTGTAATATCTGTAGCAGGTGCCTGTCCTGTTTCTTCAGTCCAATTGGTATGTTGCCTAAGTAAAAGACACTGAAGCTCCCCTCCACCTGTAACCCAGTTATCTGCTTGGTTCTTTCAACCACTTCTGTCCAGTAGGGGGAGATTTTAGGACAAAAAATATGGAAGTGGCCTACTGAAGTATATCCACATTACCTCCAACATTTACTATGTTCAGCATTTTTACTTCGGAGTTCTTTAATCTTAGGGGTGATTTAAAAAAAAAAGAGAAGCTCTGAGTATTTTTCAAAGCCATGAATCGGAGCTTGAAGTAGTGGCTATGGTTTCACATATATTAGACCAATCTTCTTCAGATAGGTTTATTCTGCCTCTTTCTCCCATCTGAGTTTAATGTAAGTGGTAGAGTTTCCTTTCTATCTGTAGTATTGAGTAGGTCATAGAGATTTGGTTTTTCGTCAGTTTCCCTGTACATGCATGTATAAAAATTTGAACTAAAAGCTTTCTCTCCTTGGACACAATATCTGTATTAAAGTGATGTCTTAATTGGAGATATCTAAAAAAAAGTCACCCCCCTACAGGTTGTAACTGTCTGACATTTGTTGAAAGGTATCTAAACCTTTTTCAGATGATATTTTCCAATATTGGGTAATGCCAAAGTTGCACCAATAATTAAACCTACTATCAGTTTTTACAGGGGTGAATTCTGTGTCATATGCTGGCCAGTGTAGTATTCTTGCATCACTTTCAAACATTTTGTCTCTAAGTAACCTGAGCCAGATCCTCAGTGGTACTTTTATGCAGTTTGATACTTTGCAATAATGGTTTATCCCCGAGAATAGCCGGGAGAGGAACATTCCGTAGTGTTTGAATGTTTTTGCTTTGATGTCTCTTTACTGAAAGAAAACAAAGTTTTCTCGTTGTACTACGTATTTTAGTTTATTCAGGATGTTTGAGGCATGCACTCTTTGGTCTTTCGTAGTTAATTCAAAATAAAAAGCAGCTGGTTCTTTGACTTTTGTTTCTAAATTCACAAACTGAAATTGAAAACCGTGACTTCTGGAGTCATCCTGTTCCTCAGTGTTTACAATCACACCAGGGAAATCGTAGCCAGAGACTGTGGCACAACCAAAATTATTGTGACCGCGTGCAAAGAACTCACGATCTCGTCGCCTTTGAAATGGTTGCTTCAAAGACGGGGATCAGGTCTGCAGCTAGTCGCAGTCAGTTTCAATCTTGAAATCATCAAGATGGCAATGAAACAGCAATTAGACAGAGTTATCTCTTATCTGCTATCAGTCTGTGATTGGATGGGGTGAAGTTGGCAATTACATGCAATCTTTTTGTGAAAATACAGCGATTATTGTGATAATCGGCAAAAACTGCAAATTAAACTGCAGAAATTAACTTAAACTATTAAGTCCAGACAGATCCTCATGGATGCTAATGATTAATTCATGTGGTCTCCTACAGTTTGCATAGAAGTTACTACTCTCCCGATGGTACTTAAACTATTAAAAGTGTGATGCGAATGGGAAATGGGGAATGTCTTCAACGTAAAAGTAGAACCTTTTGTAACATGTTAAGTTCTATGGTAAAGAGCAACTTTACTTTGGAGATGATCTTTACAGTTGTATTTCCTGTAGTTTATCTTTACATGTAGCTTGTTATATATTATGTATACACCTGTAGATGATCTGTGTTTTAGTTTGGAGCCGCTCCTTGAATATGTTTGTGTGAGGAAAAAAACTTTGTTTGGGGGTTTTTAGGGTTACACTTCTGTTGTCTTCTGCTGTTTGTAGGTTCGGATGCTGAGGAAGTCCAAGCAGAAGCAGAAGAAGTCATCAGCTAACATGAGGGACGGACACTCGGATAGTCCTTCTTCCAGAGATGGACACTGACCCGATCACCCGATAATGGCCATCCTGCCTGTTATCTGCCTCCTGCTACTGCACATGGGTAACCGTTTTGGTGCCAGCAGCCAGCTGTGAATTCACTCATGTAGTTTTGCAGCGACACTAACGGGCCGCAGACGGACCACAGACTCGTGGACGTTTACCGTCTTGCAAAGTGGGAGAAAGTCATGGATCACTTGGGATTGCATTTCATGCCTACTGTCCAGGCGCCGACCATTTACAGAAATCACAGTAACCGTGGTTAATAATTCCACTCCTAACTTTTTTACTTAACAGTAAATAACTCACAGCAAGATGTCTGCATAGACTGCAAAATAAATTGTGTTGAATTTTGACCATTTCTCAGTATGAATAAGCTCTGCGCTGGAAAAAAAAATCTAAACAAGTATTTAAAGTGTCTGTCCGGACGTGACTGTATATGTGCAGTAAGTAGCAGTACTCAGTGTCAGCTGATATATTATATAATAACTTTAGTCGTGAAAAATAATGTGCAGCTATAGAATAATTATGACCTCAGTGTTGTTCTGTTTGTCATCAGAAAATATGAAGAAAGCGGATGCTGAAGACAGCGACGGGCAGTTTTTTAAAAAAAAAAGCTGTTACTACATAATGTTTCTCGAAAGCAGTAATTTCCTGGGAGGCCCCACTACCCTTCTTCTTCTTCTTCTTCTTCTTGATTTCTTGTGTGAAATCCTTTAGTAATATTTACACACAGTGTAGAAATTTTACACTATTGAGCGTAATTAAAGTCAGATCAGGGTGAGCTATGCTAAGCAGGGTTAGCTGGAAAGAAGAACTGTTTATTTTTGACGCTCACACAGATTAGTCTTGCAGTAAAGCTTGTCTTACATAGAAATGTGTTTACTGGAAAATATAAAACAAGAGAAACTCCAAGATAATTTGGAATAATTTTAAAAAATACCAAAGGCCACGTAATAATTTAGTTTCAATCAGCAGAAGAATATATATATATATATATATATATGTATATATATATATGTATATATATGTACAGTATAACATACAAGTGCAGATTTCTTATAAGAACTACAGAACATCCAGTTAGGATAGCATTAAAGAGACAAACATTTTTCTGACAGGAGCCTGTTTTGATATTTTTGATGTTTTAATTTTTTACGTTTTTTAATTTTTATTTTACAGAAGTGTGTGATGGCACTTGTTCAAGCCCTCAGGTTATTTGAGATACTGAGAAACAACCCAAACAGTGGCCATTTAAATCAATTTAATTTTGAAAATTGTGTACCAGATACGAAAATTAGCCTAATAACACTCCTGTAGCAGTTAGTAACTGTGCCAGCTTGTTAGCTAGTTTTTTTTAGTCAGTTGTGTGCATTAAGGCACATTGAAAGTATGTTTACTAAACAGGATTTTTGCTTTTGTTCATTAAGTTAATTTGCAGCTAAACAAAACACAAACATCTTGAAGATGCAAACTAAGTGAATGGTTACTTAGCTAGCACTAATCTTTACTTTTGGCTAGTGTAAAAGCGTGACTAATATTTTGTAACCTGAAAATGATTCATTTGAGTCCGTTTTTAAAATGCAGAGGTCAAAACCACTCAATAAAAGTTATTTTAAATTTTTAGACATTAGAAAATTAACTCACTGTGTGCCATTTTAGTTACAGTTGCCAGCAATTATCTAGAAGACCTGTTACATTAAAAGAGCTTACTTCTAAGCTAGTTTTCTCAATAGTAAAATTATTAGCTTAGCAGGCTAGTTAGCTACTTTAAAAAAAAGTAAGCTATTCAAAGATTGAATTTGTTCATTGTCCATATCAGGAACTAAAAACTGAAATAAAACTCTGTTTTCATTTCCTGAAAATTGAAAAAAATGTAGCTAGGTAATGTAAGCTTAAAATATTAGCTAGGGTAACTAGCTATAACAGAACTTTGCTATGTGTAATAGTAATATTAGGCTACTTATTTTATAAGTCAAATTGAGGGTTTCAGTTAAACTAACCTAGATACTATAGTGTTAAGCAAGCTTATAAAGATAGCATATACAAATGAAATAACAAATTCAATTCGTCTGAATGTTACTGAAATAGAAAAGGTAAAAAGGTCAGTGGTAAATGTAACCAATGAGGTCAGGTATAAAGTAATTCAAATATTGTGTAAGAGGTGTGTTGACCTTGCACAACAATCTAATAAATCGAAATATTTCATTTTCAGTACCACTTTGTAGATGATGCTTTCGTCCGATCTAAATTCTGTATTGCTGAATTTATCCAAAAATCCCAACTTAATCTAAACCAGACCTAAAACAACAGAGCCAGCAGAGTCCAACCTTAACTTTTATCTCCCCCTTTTTGCTGAGTCCTGCTCTTTAACCATAAAGGAAGGACTCAAAGTTGAGCTCCATTTGGCATTTTAAAGACTCTGAGAGAAGGGACTTAATGAAAGGGGCACTTTGTTCATATTCCCAGAGTATGAAGTAGCTCAAAACTTTGAAATAGACTAAAGATCCTATGCTGAAGGTTCCAGCTCTTGATGTAGCCTCAAAAACATTCAATAACTGTACTTTGCCTGTAACTTGTACACTTAAAATCAACGTGTGCTTAATAGATTTATTTTCATGTTATTTGGTGCTAGAAGATAAAATATGTATAGTTGTTCTGTGCTTGGTTTGAGATTCGAGGATGTTGTTTTTATTTTCTAAACCTTAAAATGAAGTTTATGAAATCTGACTAATGAAGGTGAAATACCTCTCGATGGCTTCATTCAACCCTTTTCTGCAGTCGCTCTTTTGGCCAGTTTCCACCATTCTACTGTTTTACATGTTACCCGTTTTTTCGTTTTTCTGTCTCATGCAAAGTTTCTGCATTTCAGTGTTGTTAGATATTCATGTTAAATATCTCCAAAACTGAAATACTGAATTTCTATTCAAGTCAGTTTTATTTGTATAGCACCAAATCACAACAGCCACTGCCTCAGCTAAACATATGTAAAAGTGATTGGAAAAATTAGCATTTGTATGCCTGAATTTTTTTTTTCTTTATCAGTTAACCTGTGCATGGCTACAAAGTACAGCCTGAAAGCTCTATTAGCTGCCCCTTGGTAGGCCTCCTTAAAGTGGCCAATCAAGAGGAAGTGGCTTTTTAGCTCCTCTGGAGTCTCAGAATAAAAGTATAGAGTTTGGAAATAAGCAGAATAGGTCTCCTCTGATAACATCACATGTGGTTAGTATATAAAGATAAATTAGTTGTTGTAAATGTTGAAAACCTACCAAATTATGATTTATAACTCTTTAAATTTCACATTTCCTGGTTTCCCAGACTCGTCGTCCACAAGTGAACCAGACATCAGCTTGTAATAAAAAGAAAATGAAGGGTGGGAAGACACTTTCATACACAGCAACATTTAATTTTGGTTCACCTATTCTAGAGAAACAAACTGCAGAAGCTGGTGGACACACCAGGAGGCGCTGCAGAAAAAGGATTAATAATGAACAACAGCGAGGGTTTCTGGCTTTAAACAGAGGTGCAAGTCGACCTCTGATTGAAGTGCGTTCAGGCAGGTTGTGTTTTCCTACACTTGATGCTGTGTGTCTACTGGCAGTAGGATGTAGCTGTGTAACTGTACACTTATGAAGTACTGTCAGAGTGTTTGTTACATGAAGTACTGTAGCTTTGTTCCATGTAGAGCTGCGTTTTTGTGCTTTTACAGCAGCGTTTGAGCTCGTCTTCACTGATGACGATGAGTAAAACTGCTGCAGTCACACCTTTGAAACACTGCATACACCCACCAGTCTTAATGTGTTACCACGTTCTTCTGGTCAGTGAGTCCTCTGTGTTAACTTTTCGTTAAAGGTGGTTGATTCTGTTTTAGTGTCTCCACAGTGGGCAGGAAGTGTAACTTCTCTGCAAAAGAACTACACCAGAATTCATCCTTAAAATGGATTCACAGTTTGAAAGAGATCAAAACCAGAAGACTTGTTTTCAAAATTGATGATAAATATGTTTAATTCTGCTGATGGGCAGAAGAATGTCTCGCACATGTTTTGTTTTGAGTAAAGAGTTATGGAATAGCATTGGACCAAACCACTGTGAGGCCATGGGGGGGGGGTCTATAGTTATATAGCTATATAGTTACAGTTACAGCGAAGCATTGAGAACAATGGGAGTGACTATCTGGATGTGACGACACTTTTGAGAAGGGCCTGGTCCCCACCGCCCCCTTCGGCCACACCCTGTCTCCTTTAAAAACAGTTCATCGGCATTGTTTCACCTGTTTGGTCTTAAAGAAGGTCCCAGCTGAAAGGCATGCAGAGATTTTGGGTCACTTTCTCACATTTCTGGGGAAGCCTTCATTCATTTTTGCCACACTCGCACCGTGCCATACGAGTCTTTCTGTTGTGTCAAACCTCGCCGCTTTGACTTTCTGCTTCTCTGCATCCGCCGTGCCTCCGTTGTAGTGTCCAAAGTATCAGACACCAGGCCGAGTTCGGCGTGGCCTTCGCGCCTCGACGCCCTGAGTGCGCTGATGTTTAACGTGTGTGTTTCCTGCTGGTGCAGTGGTGTGTTCACTTCTGAGCTGATGTGCCTCCAGTTTTCTGTTGCTGTAATTCTCTCTGAATAGATGATTTGTCTATTTTTGCAGACAGAAGCTGTTTTTTTAAGTTTTAACTGTAAATTATAAATTGCACTAATTGTTTTACAGATGCTCTTAGATGTGACGTTCAGGTTATTATGAATGTTGTCATAACTAAAGCTAATTGTCTAGCATATATATATATATGTATATATATATATACATATATATATGTACATACGAGTTTAAATTATGTGTCTAATTGTAATAAACTAAAGACCGACTAAGAACTAAGCTTTGGTGGTTTGTCTGGTATTTGAAGAAGAAAACTGTGAATAAGAACCTGCTGATTTTGTTCCACAGAGTTCACACTTTAAAGATTAATAATAATAATACTTTTTATTTAAAAATAGCGCCTTTCAAAGCACCCAAGGACACTGTACAACAGATAAAAACACAGAAACTGGAAATATACACAATAATAAGAATAACAGATAAAGTTAGAGCATACAGAGGTTTAAACATAAGCAATTTTAAACAGATGAGTTTTGAGGATGGACTTAAAAAGAGGGAATGAACTAATATTTCTGAGGTCGGGGGGTAAGGAATTCCAAAGTCGAGGGGCAGAGCAACTAAAAGCCCTGCCCCCCCATTGTAATCAGACGAGCGGAAGGAATAGAGAGAGAAAGAGAAGATGAAGATCTGAGGCACCGGGATGGGAAGTTCATCTGTACTAAATCGGAGAGGTATGGTGGAGAGAGAGAATGAATAGCCTTAAATGTATAAAGGATTATTTTAAAATGGATGCGAAATTTAACCGGGAGCCAGTGAAGCTGCTTCAGGATTGGGGAGATGTGGTGGGTAGAGGAAGTCCTAGTAAAAATACGGGCAGCAGAGTTCTGGACACGTTGGAGCTTGTTAATAGATTTTTGTGTAAGGCCAAATAATAGTGAGTTACAGTAGTCAATTCGAGAGATAACAAGATTATGGACGAGAATGGCAGTGGCATGAGGAGTAATAACACAACAGAAGACCATTTGTGATTCTCCAGGCACAGGTAAATATGAAAATCAGGGAAATTAACATTTTAAAATATCTTTGAATTTTGAGATATTTTGAGCAGAACCAGGCTCAGGGAGAAGGAAGCCAAGGAAGGAAAGGAAGGTCTATTAACACATAGTGAGTGAAGAAGAAGCACTCAATGCATCATGGGAATCCCCAGCAACCTACACCTATTGCACCATAATTAAGGGAGGATTCAGGGTCACCTGACCCAGCCCTAACTATATGCTTTAGCAAAAAGAAAAGTTTGAAGCCTAATCTTAAAAGTAGAGATAGTGTCTGTCTCCTGAATCCAAACTGAATATTTGAATCCTGTAAATCTGCATCTAAACCCATGAATATTCAGTTTCACATTCCATTAAATGGTTTTATGTCTGTTTCTTATATAATGCTCCATTCTCGTCTGATGGAGCATTCTAGTCGAGCTAGAAAAGCACGTGATCATTTAATCATTATAAAGAGTAAATGTGACGATTAGCATTAGCATTCATTTTGTAAATCAATTTTTGCTTTTTCATGTCACCATCCACCTTTGAAATAAGAGGCCACGCCTCTAATAATGCAAACTTTAAACCTTAATAAAACAAACATTCCACCTCATACAGGTGTTAAGAAGGCAGAAATTATCTGCAGACCCCAAAACAGTTTATGTATCAAGCTGTAAACGTGTTTATTTCTGCTGTAAATTTGAAGATTTTTAACATGGGAGTCTATGGGGACTGACTCACTGCCGGAGCCTCTGCTGGACATTAAAGGAACTGCAGCTTTTTTCTGTTTCTTTTTGTTGTTTTTTTTACCTTTGGCGCTCTAGTTTTGGCTTCATTAGTTGACGCCTGTATTTCATGTGTGCTGGTGTCAGAGCGGCAACTGTGGTGATGCTTTGCCTGACCAGCAGGGGGCAGGTGGCGAACAACTCATCAAAGATGGCCTGCGAGGGAAACGATTGCTCACTCTGCACTTCTACTTCTCACCCCACATTATGAAGATTTTAATAACAAGCCAAGCATGAAATCAGCACCACAGTTCATGAAAACAGTGCAAGTATATTAACACGAGTAAGCTGCGGTCGTTTCGCTTGTGTACTAATACACGATGTTTAAAAGTTGGAAAAGATCTCCTGTAAGAGTATTTATACTAATACACGTGCACTCCAATTTATGTAAAACTAAATGTAGGAATGACAATATCTTTGTTTATTTGTACTTATGCATTCTATACTATAAGTCATACTTTATACTATACTTTATACCTTGTTCTATATTGGTCATTAGTCATATTTTGATAGATTTGTGTAACTTTACTTAAATAGAAAGTATACTTTGAGTACTTCTAGAATGTGGTATTGCTCATACACGTGAACCTTTTGTAAAATTACCAGTTTCAGTATATTTCTACACTGAATGTGTTATTGCTAATACTAGTAGGTATTGTTACCCTGTAATAGAGTATTCCTTCACAGTATCATTACAAATCTACATTGATAGTTTTTTTATTTAAATAAAACTTCAAAAGCATGATTTATAACAGAATTATAATTATATATATTATAACTACGATTTTAAAAGTCTTACTTAACACTTTTTTCAGAATAAGGTGTTACCAGTACTGTGGTAAATTTGTATACTTTAAATGCACAGCAAAGCTTGTGTTCATGAGTGTGATGAGACAAAGTTCTTCTAGAGGAAAGTCCCTGTACTCTGTCTCTTTTTAGGAACACCTCTGGGCACTTGTTTGATTTATTTTGAAGCGTTTTTTAACCTGATTTGAATTTCTTTGGTCTCTGGAACATCAAACTTAGAACAACTCAGAGATTTTGCCCCTAGATACGTTTTTTTTTTTCCGCCCTCAAAGTTATACTTTTACCATCTTTGCCACAGAATTCTCTCTAAAGTCTTATTACTAATATGTAATGTATGTATATGTTTATATGCTTATCTGTGTTTCTTCACTGTGGTACTTTTAATTTGTTACCATTTGCTACTGTGCTTGTACACTTTACCTGTTTCTTTGAATTTTTTACACCTGCTGTGGTTTTGTTCATTTGTACCTGAGTATTTATGGTGTCATTACTAATACTTTGGCCATTTTTGTACTTTAATAGGAGGGTTTTTACCTGTAATGAAGTAGTTTTAGTAATAAACACACTGCTTTTACCTTTTTCTTTTTTTTTTTAAAGACGAGCTAAAACCGAACTTTAATTTTTTCTATACTTACGAAAACTATTGGATGGATATTTTTTTTTTTTTTTTTTTGATGGACTTTTCAAAGTCCAGCCATCTCGGCAATACCTGTGGGCACCTATTTGGGAAGTTATCTCGAAGTGTTATATAAGTTTATATTTATTGTCTCTGGGAAAGAAAAACACAGAAATAAAATTCAGATTTTGCCTAAAACCACATTTTAAAAAGCTTTCTTTCTCCCCTGTAAGTTACTTTTCTGCCATCTCTGCTTTTACAGAATTCTTTTTTATACATATATATCTGGTAATGCTAATATGTCCCTATAGGGTTTCTGTACTCCTACTTGCACTTCACACTGAGGTACTTCTTACGCAGTAGAAATGAGCTTCATTCAAGGGGTGCCAGGACTCTCTCAGAGCCTGCAGAGCTCAGTCTTTCGTAGGAGAGAGGAGGCCCTACTCCACCATATCAACTGCTAGCAAACCATCTGAGGAGGGAAAGCAGAGCTCCACTAAAATGGTGTATAGTGGAGGTGGGGTCCTGCTGACTTCAACTAAGGATACAGTCTGGTGGTGGGAGCCAGCCTTCGAGGATCTGCTCAATCCCACTGACATGTCTTCCGTAGAGGAAGCAAATTTGGTGACGAGGGGAACGGCTCGTCCATCACTGGACCAGTTCTTTATCCTCGAAGATACTTGAGGGCGTTTGTCCAACCGGTCTACATGTGCTTTGTGGACTTGGACAAATCATTCGACCATGTCCTTGCAGGAGTCAGAGCTGTATGGCCCGTTTTTATGAACCATTCTGTTCCTGTATGAGCCACGTACAACCACATTGCTGGTAATAAGTCGGACTCCCCCTGAGCGGGTGTTGTCACAGATTCAGTTCATAGTTTTTATGGACAGAAGTGAAACACGACAAATGAGAATCGGCACCTCCAAGTCCAAGAGCATGGTTCTCAGCAGGAAAAGGGTGGAGTGCCCATTCTGGGTTAGAGACCCAAGTGGAGAACTTTAAGTGCCTCAAGGTGTTGTTCACAAGTGAGAGGAGGGTGGAGCGGGAGATGTCTGTGATGTGGACTCTGGTTTGTACTGGTTTGTCATGCAAAAGAGAGATCTGAGTGTAATGCCCATTTACGTTCTTACTTTCACCTGTGGTCACAATCTCTGTGTAGTGACTGGAAGAATGAGATGGGAGAAATGGGGCTTTCTCCAAATGCTGGCTGGGCTCTCCCTTAGAGATTAGGAGTTCAGCCATTTTGAAGGGACTCAGAGTAGAGCCAGCTCAGGTGATTCAGGTATCTGATTCTGAGGCCCTGGGATAGGTCCAGGACACACTGGTGAGATTATGTCTCTCGGCTTACCTGGTAACGGCTCGGCGTTCCCTCGGATGAGCGATAGGTGACTACAGAGGGAGGTCTGGGCTTCTCTGCTCAGACTGCTGCCCCTGGTATTTTCTTGTACCTTTCCTTAAGTACAGCATTTATAACTAAAGACGATCTAGACGGAAGTCCCTGCTCATAGTTGCCGAATCAGCTCGAAGAATGAAATAAATTAATTTCAATTCCAATTATTTCTGAGATGTAAAACTTAAAAAAAAATGTTTTTACTGTTATTATTGTTGTTATTACAAAAGATCCCTTGAAGTTATACTTGTACCACCGTCTGTCCTGTAGCAAAACCTTTCTCATGTGTCTCAAGGCTAATCCGTCTGTATGGAGTTGGAGTACTTTTGTAATGTATTACTGTGGTATTTCTAATGCAGGACTGAATTATTACTAACCTATGTGTGTAACTTGAGCTGTTACTGTGTATTTCAACGCGTTTTGCTTTGTCTGGGCTCAGTTCCTCTTTTGAGGTGAAACAGGAGGACTCGGTTTCTGATTCATATTCTTCAGACTGTGTTTTCTTCTCGAAGTGAGACCTCGTGGTTTTCCCCGCTCTCTGCCTCATTTGGACGTCACAGGGAATTTCCAGTGGGGAAGGAAATCAAGTCAACTTTATTTCAACTGACAATCGTCAGTCAGTGTCACCTGCGGGACTGCTGTCGCTCCCTCTGGATTATAATCCCACTCGGATTAAAATTGTTCATTAAAGTTGTTAAAGTGTAATGACGCGCCCGTCTCGCGTCATGACGTACTCCGGGTAAAGTGGATGGATCGGTAGCTCAGCATGGCGCAGTGATGTGCACAAGTGAAGCGAACTGAGGAGGACTGTCACTCAAAGGGAACTCTTCACCTGACCGACCGAAACAGGTAACAGCCTGGTTAACTAACCAGCTAACTAAACTAACCAGCCAGCTGCACGTTTCCATTCATAATCACAACTTCAGCGGGACCCGTTACAACTCTTTGGCAGCTGGCTTTGTTTTGCTGCTTACTTCCTCATTAGCCAGGTAACTGTTAGGACCCCGGGCCAAACTCCATGTTAAAAACGGTAAGCTTTTATTTTCTGTAATGTCAGTAGCCTCGGGAATATGTCACGTCACCGTTAAAGTGCATTACGTGTTTGTAACACCCACCAGCTAATTCGGCCACGATTAATCAAAAATCAAAATCTCGGCTTAGTGAAAGTTTGAACTTTAATCCAACTTTTAATCTCGTTTAACTCGCTCTGGTCTTTGGTAGCCAAAGGGCAGAATGGTTAAACTGACAAAATAATTAAAACGACATTTTTATTTACACCGAACTGCTGTGTGGATTTTAGACTTGCCGAATACATGACTGGGGTCGGCTGATTCTGGTATCTATTCATTTATATCGCAATGTTCAGTGTACCGAAGTGAAGAGCGAAGGACGGTGTAACTGGCAGATTTTAATACGAAGTTTTGTGTTACGCTCTCCGCATACGGAACCTACGAGGCTAGCTCCCGGGCAGCCAGGACAGGCAGCGGTTAGCGAGGACGGGGCTCGCTTTGACTTGAAGCCCGAGATTAGACCCGAGCTGCACTGAGGTCGGTGCTGTGGAAGCGCCGGCCAACAGCCTGCCTGCTTTAACTTTAGCCACATGAACAACAACAACAACAACAACCCGGAGGAGCTAATTAGCTGTTAGCCGCAGAGCTAACGTAGATCACACAGGCACGCTCGTGAGAACGAGGACGAGCGATGCTGCTGACAGGTAACAAGTGTCAGCGATCAATAATCAATAATTATTATCGGGTTTAAACGACTGTGTATTACAAACTGTGTATCACCGAAGGTTAAATATATATTTATATATATAATAAACAAAGAGTGAATTCCGAGAACAGAAAACTCAGTTCACAAGGTATAAAATTAATAAACTGACAATAAAAAACGACAACAGCCAAAAAACATTTAATAAGATGGCCAAAAAAGAGGCAAATTTATGAAAGACCTGCAGATTCACGAGAAAAATGTGCACTTCGCAAATCCAATTTTTGAGGAAAAGGATAAAAATTGATAAATATAAGGAGAAAACCCAGGTAAACTCACGAGAAACACGTGCACAAGCGCAAGAAAGCAAAAATGAGGAAACCTTCAAAGGTGCTCAAATTTCAATAATCGTTGAGGAAGTTAGTTGCTGGAGACACCTGGCCTACTTCTGCAGGTTAGTTCTGGAGGTCTCACAGTGTGATGAACTGAGATGGAAGTGTTTCCCTCCATAGTCACCTTTTTAGAAGTCAGCAGGTAAATTTCTCAACGGGACTAAAGCCCGAGTGTTTACTGCCGTCATGTCAACTGTTTACATTTAGTTTTTTGCCTGCATGTTTCACAGCTTGCTCAGCAAAGTTTGAATTAACAACCTTAATACATATTCCTCATTCTAATGCAATAAGGAATTTCTCCATGTTTTTCTTTTCTGCTTCTTTTTCTTCTTCTTTTTTGGTACAAGAATTTCCAAATTCCCTGAAATACTCTAATACATAGGTGTCAAACTCTGGCCCGCGGGCCAAATTTGGCCCACAGCCTAATTACATTTGGCCCGCGAAGCCATACCAAATTACTATCAGAGCTGGCCTACTGGTATTATACAGCTAATATATATATTGTTTAGTATTAAGCTTTGCTTGTTCCATATTCAGTTTTTTAGCAAAATGTGTTTGAGTCCATAAGAAAAGATTCATTCTTATATCTGGAGGAATAAATATAATTCAATAAATATTAATGTTAGCCCGCGACTTTGTTCCAGTTTTGAATTTTGGCCCACTGTGTATTTGAGTTTGACACCCCTGCTCTAATACAAGACCAAAGCCGTCTTACCAGCTTAAATACTATGATATTAGCTCTTTATTACTCCTTATAAAGGACTTATCAAAGCCTTATTTAGCATGACTGAAACAGCAAACAAAAAAGTGGCAGTGGTGTGTCCCCCATTGTGAAGTGAGGTGCAGTTTCTAACAGATTCACTGGTAGTTTGACGCTCATTAATCCACACAGCTCCAAAATAATGATAACAGCCACTGAGTTCCAGTTAAAAATAACAACTGCATGCTTGTTTAAGCATCTAAAAACTGTCAGGTGAAACCTGTGCAGCAGGTTTATACCTCCCACCACCAAACCAGCCCCCCCCCCCCCCCAGCTCCTGTCCAACAGCATGCCTTCAAAGACCATTTACTGTGTGATCGGGCTGTTGTGTGGTTTCTGGGCTGCAGTGAAAGCAGCTTAGGTGTTAAGTGAAGGAGGAAGTGGCATACAAGCGAAATGGCCTTCACTCTAATATCGGTCGAAAGACTGCATTAAGACACACAAAAAGGCAACTTTTATAAAGGCCTCTAGGTCAGGCCTCTCTTAGTCAGGGGTGGGCAACTCCACGCCTCAAGGGCCGGTGTCCTGCAGGTTTTAGATCTCACATTGGGTCAACTTACCTGAATCAAATGATTAGTTCATCACCAGGCCTCTGGAGAACTTCAAGACATGCAGAGGAGGTAATTTAGCAATTTAATTCAGCTGTGTTGGTTTAAGACACATCTGCCCACCCCTGCTCTTAAGTGGTCAGGTATAAAATGCAGTTTTTAAGAACCAGTTCGTTTACCATTTACAGGCCTATATGCATCATGAAAAGGGATGCACCAGTTCAACTTTCAACGCCATTCATCGGTACGCTAACATCAGGTTGAGCCTTAATGTTGCTTCTCTAACTTTCTAAAATAAAATATACCAAAAAAGAAAAGAAAAGAAAAATGCTTTTACAAATGTATTCTGTATTTGAGCTGAGTGTGAGAGTCTTTACTGCTGGTACTCCTCCTGTCCCTGCTCTCAGTCTCGCTGTGGGTGCACCTCCTCACACACGGAGTGGAGCACACAGAGAAACAGGAGAAGAGAAATAGTATTATAATGCCACTGTTCTGTCACTGCAAGTGCACAAAGGCTTCCCAACATGTGGGAAAACGTAACGAGAGAGAGGATGGAAAAAGCTGTCGGCAGTTTCTGGTTAAATTAAAAACTTTAGCAAATGTTCAAAGTGACTGCTGACCTCTAAAAAGGCCTTTAACCCTCAAATAAACGGTCAATAAAGTTGCTTTCAGTCAATTTTCTGTTGCTAAAATAAGAGATTAACCATTAATTGTTGCAGTTCTGCAGTTGATCGTTTTTAATGGTCGCTTTGAAAAAAGAAAGTTGTGAATGAAGTAGTTGTAACAGAAAGTAGAGTATTTAGAGAGTAAGTCACTTTACTCATATAGAATTCTAATTCAAGGTGAAGACGGTTGTTTAGAGGAGTGCAAATAAAAAGCCTCAGTTATAATTAAACGTGTTGTGATGAGCAGAAAACATAAAAATAAGAAGAATGAACAGAGCACTTTTGTCATTCTGGTCTCTTACTCATAATAATAATCGCTGATGTCACTCCGTGGGTTTAACTGACGTGTTGCTCCACCTTTTGCAGACGCCACCATGGCCGGAGACGACCACTACCTACACACTCCCAACCAGGTAAACTCACCTGGGCTCAGCCTCCATGTTTTTTTATAATGTCCAGCTTATAGTCTCATTTACTAATTTTAAGTCGTGTTTGACCCAATATGATGATGATTTGGTAAATTATGCTCCTTTTGTAGTCAGAAAGGGAGACAAAGCAAGGGCTGTTTTAGGATGTCATTGACAAGATGATGACGAAAAAAGCAGCAGGTTCCAAAAACATGACTTTAATAACCAGTGGGAGATGTCACAGTTTCTGCAGGCTGACAAATAACAGCCCATATTTCTGCTCTGAAGGAGACAATCTCCCCCCTTTTTAAACCCTTTGAAATACTTGGATCTACACCAGTATCAAGGTATCACAACCTTTTTAGAAAAGCCGTATTAAAGTGGGAAGTGCTCACATGTGTGCATGTAAATGAGACAGTATCAATATCGATCCTCAACATTAGGAAACTGTGCTGCTATTTTTGTTCCTTGTTCCTCGTGAACGGAGCCATAAAAAAGGCTCTTTGAGTCACTTCTGTCCAACATCATGCAGATTATTGAAGAACGTGATTGGCCAGCAGCTTTGTTGTTTGATTACCTGTGCTGATCATCGAGTCTAGTGCACTAATACTTTCTATTGCTGTGTTAGACACAAATGTAATGTGATTACAGTAACTCATTTCTTTGGAACATTTTCCACGCAGCACTTTTCAGTTGTTCTTTAGCTTTTTTTGATCATTACTGTTTCTGTGGTTCTCCTCTGATCTTCTTCTGATCTTTTCCTTCCTGGTTGTCAACTTCAACTCCTTCCTCCTCTCCAGCTTCATCTTCCTTGTATTTCTTGGTCTCTGTATAGCTCTTATTGATTATATTCTTCATCTGCGTGATCTTCTTCTCGATGTTCGTCTACATCGTCACCCTCTTCTTGTTATTTCCTATTCTTCTTTTTCTTCTTGGCCTTAATCTTCTTGAACAGCTTCATCTTCTACTTGTCGGTCTTTGTCTTCCTCGTGGTCTTATACCTGTTCTTCCTTGTCTTGATCTGTCTCTTCTTCTTGATTTGCTTGTATATTCCTGATCTATGTCAGTGCTTTCTTTTCCTTCTTTGTCTTCTTCTTCTCGTCCTTCTTATTGATCTTCCTCCTTGGTCGTGGTTCCTTTGTGGCACCGGTTCATGCAGTCTCTTTGAACAGACCATGCTGGGGTATCTCTTCTGCTTGAACCCTGAGAAGCACTGATGTGGGGCTCTGATCCGAGCTGCTGTAAATAACTGTCCTGTTCTCGTTAATGGACTGTTGTTTCTTTGGTATAACATGAATTATTGCAGTTAACATCACTCAAGCTGCACACATGTGAAGAACAAGAACTAAATAATAATAATGTCTTCCTGTGTTTATTTAAGTCTAAAGTCAGACTTCGTGTTTTTGTCTTTACTGCAGATGTTTGATAACATCATGATAGACCCGTCATGGGAGTTTCCACATTTTGCGATGCCTCAGACGTCTCTGCGGACAGGTGAGAGTCCTGCAGGTGTGTCCCACACCATCAGCTTTATCTTTAAAATGGGTGTCTTTGGGTTTCAGACTGCTGGTCCAACAATAAGATGTCATGTAGTACTTTCCTGTTGGCTTGATTTGACCTCTGTACTTTCAGAGTTTATTTACTTTGAATGTGTTGTGTTGTTTTTATCTGGATTTCCCCTTTGTTTCTGAACAATAGTATAATTTCTGAAGAAAAAAAAGAGCAGCCATGGGTGGCATTAATCATCTCTTAAACTTGTCATTTTGAGATGACGGCTTAATCTTCGTGCATAAAAATACCACACTGTCACGCAACCATCACGCCTGTCTCTCCTGCCGTCCCCACAAAAGCTGTCAGGCCTTTTGTTTTCAGACGGTTTCCTTTGGTCTCACTCACTCCGCCATCCTGAGGTTATTACTGTGTGGTTAGCATGAAATAAAAAACACGCAGGTGGAGATAAAGTATCTGCTGCCCCATTTGTGTAATTGTGTTGAGCTCATACTTTACATACTCGAGCCTGATTGAAAAGCAGTTTAGTTCTTTTCCTGTTGCAGTGTTTGCTTCCTGACACTCGTCGTTTGGTTGACTGTGGTCGTTATATCCACGCGTATCATTGTTGTTTAGGTAATACTCAAAATTTAAAGGGACCCACTAAGACTTATGTCACTGGTATTCCCTGTAAAAAAAACTATTTACCAAAAAAACCCCAACAATAAATTTCATGTGTGATTTGGTTTAAAGTTCCAGGAAAAGTCAGACAAATGGACTTTGACTTGGACTGTTACGTCAGACAATGAGAGCTTTATATGGACCGTTACGGCATGAATGAAGCCTTTGTTCAGACAGAAGCTGAAGGCTCTATAACATGTGTGAAAGAAACATTAAAACCACACACAGGTTGAACAGATGCCGCTGGGGAGGAAAAACTTCCGAAACTCCACTTTCTTTTTGCAAAAGTGAATTTCTGTTGAGGGGGAAAAAATGAAGGTAAAGTGAAAGAGGAGTTTCATGACGTGTCCTCTGTGGTGGCTGTGGGACGGCAGCTCAGCTCTCACTTCCCTTTAATATCAACACATCGTTTCTCTGAGTAGAGACAGAGGTGTAGCTCGCATGGGGAAACTGGCTCCTCTTTACATTTACATGTGGCTACAGTGGTACGCAGAAAGTGGCGATTACAGCATTTCTTCTTTTAACATGTGGAAAAATACAACCGGTCTCTCCTGCACATATGGATGGTAGAGGAAACGCAACAAGGGCGACATTTCACAGTTCATATTTCATGTGAGACAACATTTCACCGACATTAAACAGAATCTCACATGACGGGAAACCTGACATGAAACACAAAATGTCGCAAAAGACATTAAACATAACGTGACATTTTAGAAAATGTGTCATCAAACAAAACTGAATGAAAGATGACATAAATCTCAACGTTTTAGAAAATCGATATTGCGCAAGATGCCCGCGTTACGAGTTTTACAAACGACAATTCAGGAAAGGATCACCGCAAAAGACATTTCAGGTGGCACGAAATTTCAATCGAAGCGCAGACACTCGAAACACTGTCGCGTACAGATTTCTTGAAAGCCGTTTTACAGGATGTTGATAGCAAATGAGACGAGATTTCAGGGAAGATGTTTTACATTCTCCTACTTATCAGATGCATATTTTAAGAAAAACTGATGACATTTCAAAAAACACAACAGAAAAAAACATAAAACATTTCTGAAAAGAGAGTTTAGAAAAAAATGAGACGCCACTACAGGCGATGACCTCACACAAAACATTTCTTATTGCACATCAAAAAAGTTTGAGGTTAAAAAGGAGCTCAAACTGAAATGTTGGTTAAACACTCTTTACGGTCTACTTATCAGTAATAATGACATAGTTGTAATAATTCTTAAACCGTGGAAACCTCAAACCGTGGAAGGGAGTTCCCCTCACTGTGACACAGTGCTGCTCACAGGAGATTGTTGGGGTTCTCCCTCTAATATTGATGGTCTGCAGCTCAAAGAGTCTTATCACTGAAACTGAATAGGATTGGTTAGAGCACTGCTGGTCAGCAGATGGTTGTCAAACCAGAGACCAGACCCAGGGTGAGGGGTGACAGATACCCCAGGGAAACTTTGTGTAGAGAAAAGCGTAGCTCGGTCTTTATTTCATGTGTAAGATATCTCAGTTCTCTGACACCTCTAAATGTCTCGATTGTCTGAAACCCCAAAACGAATTTTCAAAGAAACAAATCAGCTGTATGAGAAGGTGTTTGAATCTGAGTCTGAATCTGAGTCTTTGTGGTTTCAGTGGACGGACCGTTCCTGCAGATCGTGGAGCAGCCCAAACAGGTAACACTCACCTGTCCCGTCTTATCAGAGACGACTGACCGCTGGGTTTAGTTTATTTTTAAATTGGTTTTATTTAGAATTAAAAAAGGGAATTGACTTAGTACAGGATGTTTGGCTGTTTAAGTCACACCTGTAACTACTGCTGTTTTCTTTTCCTGTCTTTTGTTGCTGATGGTCACGCTGACTGTAACGGCACTCTGACCGTGTTCTGATGTCACTTCCTTTAATGCAGCGGTCCTCAACCCCTGGGCCGGTACTGGTCCATGAGTCGTTTGGTACCGGGCCGCCAGAGTTGAGGCTCATTGTCGGACATAAACCGGTCCATGGCACAAAAAAAGGTTGGGGACCGCTGCTTTAATGGACAGTAAAACACAGTTAGGCCGTAAGTTGTGCAGCAAAGTGGAGCAAAGACTGAGGGGGGGGTCAATAACAGGGTCCCCCCTGAGTCATTAAAGAGTCAGTCATTAAAGTGAAGGATGTTAAGGTGTTAAAAGGTCCTGCGTTGAACTTACAGGTGTTATGTTTAACACTGACGGAAGAAATACATTTAACGCTCATAAGACCTATTTTAGTGACCGTCTGTGGTCATTAATGATCTCTGTTAGACTTTAAACAGGAAGTCTTTATTTAACGTGCTTCTCATGGTGCTGCTTGCTTTCTGTTCAAGCTTGTATTTACAGTCAAACTGAAGTATGTAAATTTGGATGTAGCCGTTGGCACGTTACCCATTGATTTTAAAGACTCATCATTAGCATTTCTGTCACCGCCATGATGTTTTTGGACGAAAGGTCAAAGTGTTAGCGGCGCTGTTTATCCCGGGAGTGGGAGGGCACTGACTTGGGTGGAGTATTTCCCATTAATTTTTGAGCTTTGAATCCTAAACATTTACACCTTTAATCTAATTTCACCCCATAAATGTCACACCCTCCTCCCTGCCTGTATATATTTATTTGATGACAGAGCTCCTTTAACTTCAGCTGGATTAACACTGATGACTCAACAGGAAGAAAGGGAAGCATCGCGTCTCAGAGTTGGATTTCACCCACCTGTTTAATGAATAATCACCTGAACGTGTGTTTAGAACAACAAGGCGACTGATTGTCAGCTGATGCATTGATACAGGTGTGCACTGTTGTCTTTTTTTTTACAGCGCGGCTTCAGGTTCAGGTACGGCTGCGAGGGGCCGTCTCACGGCGGTCTGCCAGGGGCCACCAGCGAGAAGAACAGGAAGACCTACCCCACCGTCAAGGTAACGCTTCCTGTCTGCGCTTGTTCTCCAGGTGTCGGACGTGCAAATGTAAACCTCGTCCTGCGCACTCGCTACAGTCAGCTGACTCACCTGCAGAGCGCAGCGTTTAAACTTTCTTCCAGTTTGTTGGTCCAGGAAGTGTTTGAAGCACACAGAGTGAGCACTAAAATCAGATTGTGGTTCACTTCTGTCTGCAGCGGCAAGAGGAAATAAAACAGTTTCCTGCAGAGACTTTAATACTGCTGAGGCATCGGGCCGACTGTTTCTGTCGTTTTGCTGATTGAAGTTGTCAAACTGACTAAACCTGTTTTGAGCTGAAGCTGAAATATGAAAGTAATGCCGTAGTGCGATTGAAGCTCTGGGAAATGATTGTTTATATCAGTTTCATCGCAGTGATTGTTCAGTGAGAGTAACACAGAGCTCCTTTAACTACAGTTATTAATAACACACGCAGCCATTAAATGAGTTATTCATCACACTGTTTCTGCTTTCACAAGCTAACACAGAGTAAGACCAGCGATGAGACCCAGTCCTGCTCTGCTGTCTGTGCTGTATACCCGAGCATCAGTATAATGACACCGAGCTCACCTGGATGTTTGGAGGCCGAGCGGTCCCTCTGTGAACTGACTGTCCTGCTGATGTTGAAGCTCACTGTTTGTTGAGACGAGCCTTATTGGATCAAACCAGCTCCCTTTTGGTTAATTTTGGCTGACGTTATCTTGCCAGTTGAAGTTTTTAGTTGTAGGAAAACAAAATCAAAGCTAGTTTTAAGGTCATGATTATACGTGACGCGGACTTGAGTCCATAAATTTCATCATCAGACGTTGATGACGAGCATCCGTGTGGATGTCCACATGCTCGCCTGTTTTTTCTTTTTTTACCGCACAGACTCACAGAATTTACATAACAGTGCACCAACTACACGTGTCCCAGGCGGCAGACTTCAAGCAGCCTTCACAGGAGTATAACAGGACTGACTGCTTGGCTGTCGGGTCTCCAGCTGTCGGTGTTTGTGTCCGTCGGCCAGCTTAATGTGGCCTTAACCTCTTCAACTGAAAAACCAAACTACACTGGACACACTGAGGCCATAAAGGCCTGTGTTCACTTGCAGGCGTGTGACACCATCATACAGCTTAAAGCAAGGGTGTCAAACTTATGGCCCATGGGCCAGAGTCACCCCACTGCAGACGGCTTTGGGAAATGTGAAGGAGGTCATAGATTTGACTTTGAACTGTGTTTCAGATGAAAACCTCCTTCGGGACCATCGAAGTAACAAAGTAACAGAGTAATACAGAGTAAACAGTTAAATATCAGGTACTCTTCTATCTACTGCAGAAATTCCTTTGCTTTATTGTGATTTCACATGTTCAAGAGAGAAATGGGTCTATAATAATTAATATATACATTCTTATCTTTACCTTAATAGTGTGAAACAGGCTTCGCAATGACTGAGGGAGAGATCCTAGTTTAAAGCAGTCAGTGTGGGTTGGACTAAGCTGTGCAGACAGTAATGTAAAGACGTGTTTGTAAAATTCCAAAAGGAAACATTTCCGATCGGAGCATTTTCCAGATCAAACCTTTGGCTGAGGACACTTCCAGCTGATACATGGGTTCATGCAACCCTGTTTTAAGTTTTGGTGGAATTTCAGGAATGTTAAGTTTGGCTAGAAAGTCATTAATTGTGTTGCAGTTAGTTTGTGATCCTGAGGTGTAGAGCTCTGAGTAAAAGTTCTTTAATACATCGCCAAAAGTTGGTTCTGTTCATCTGGACATCCAGATGAACAGAACCGACTTTTGGCGATTTACTTACCCGGATGATTGAGCATGCATCAGGATGTCCCTGAATACATGATTCACTTTTTCATGAGCTGTGAAAGAATACTTGGCCCTAGATACCTTAAGAAGACTTGGCAGTTATCTATCAGGTTTGTCGCCGTTCAGTTGAGTATGTTGTTTGTAGGTCAAGCCTCGTTTTGAGTTCAACATGCTTTTTAAAAATTGTCTGTTTAACCTGTTGCATTAACATATTTTGTTCATGAGCGGCTTGTTTTTGCTGAATAAGTAGTAATTTGGCCTTAAAGGCATCCCATACAACAAGGCTGGAAGTCTCTGGGGAGGAGTTAGTAGCAAAGCAAAAGCCTATCTCATCTTCTGTCATTTAACAGAAGGGTTGAGTTGAAATCCCGTTGTAGGTGGGTGTGAAATAACTACACAGCGATTGGCACAGGAGTGGACCTGCTGCAGGCATTAAGTGTCAGTGATAGCGTAAACGATTCTCCAATACGTGTGGTACACGTGTGAGAGGTCTCTCTCTCGAGAGAGCTGAATCAAATGATTAGTTCATCACCAGGCCTCTGGAGAACTTCAAGAAGTGTTGAGGAGGTAATTTAGCCATTTAAATAAGCTCTGGTGGATCAAGGACGCATCTAAAACCTGCAGGACACCAGAACTGGGTCTAACCAACAATTAAAATCATCCCCCAGGATGAGAGAGTACTTATTTAAGGCAGGTTTGAAGAGAGTCTCGTCATCTCGTCATTCGGAGCATAAACATTTACTAGAGCGACCAAAGTGTTGCACAATTTCCCACTGACTATAACAACTGTGCAGATTTGTGTGCGACAACAACCCGGGCCTCAAAGGGAATATTCTCGACGATCATATCGTGCTTTAGCCTGGAAACGTGAGTGGAAGCACCGGCACCTCCACCGTGGGAGGACACGTCCAGTATTTTTACTTTTCAATTTTTAATGAATATTTACTGCATACCTAGGATGTTTGTGGATTCCTGGGGATGACTAAAGTATCTACTTAATCTGTCTAATGTAATCTGAATAGTGTTTGTTTTTTCTTGTATGACGATTCAGTGTGTGGTTAGACGTTTTCATGCTGACATGAAGGGGAGTTTCACGGGTCTGCCCTACTTAAGGTCAAAGTGGGCAGCATGTGGCCCACGATGTGAAACGAGTCTGACGTCCGTGTCTTAAAGGGTTGCATTAACTTGTAACGAGTTTAAAATCACAAAAATGTTGTGTTATGAATGTGTCGTAACAATATCATAGACTCAAACCTCTCTTGGGAGTCGTCTTAAGGATCCTGTGATTTAGATATTTGAGTCCTCAGTGAAGGTCTCGTTTACTCGTTTACTACACATGGGCAATAATGCATTGAGTATTTAAAGCATGTAAAAAAAAGAGAAGAGAAAAGTTGCATAAATCACATTTAAAGGAAGTGTGCAGGGTTTGCCCCTGCTTACTTGTGATTTAGGAACCAGCTGTTAAACAATGCGTCGCTGCGTCTGCTTGAACAGGTCAAAACGAGTCGCGTGAAGCCGTCGTGTCAGCGGCGTTACAAAGCTGCACGGTCTTTTCTCGTGAGCAGGGGAGAGGCTGGTGTTTACTATTGTCTGCCGAAGGCTGGTTTTGTTTCACTGTGGTTTTGGTTGGAGGTGACCGTCGCTGGCTTTAGAAGCCGTGGCGCTCTTGTTTCCACCCCGCGCTCTGTATGAGACTGACACAAGCACACGAGCTCGAGTTTCCTGCCGTGTTGTTTCTGTTGATGTTTAGTTTGGAGTCTGAAGCTCCCACATGTTCCGACCAAACCAGAAAACATGGGAAATCCCCAGATTCCTGCTTCTGTCTTTGTCTCGCTGACATTAAAACTATATGAAAGCTGATTAAAGAGATCCAGACTTTCAGACACAGGTCAGAACAGGAAGTGTTCGTTATAAAAAAAAAATCATATGAGCTCATTTGTTTTCTGTACGTAGTCAAAACAGTTGCGTACGAGCTGAGAAGGACACGTTTTTTCTTGATGTAGAATCTGAATAAAAATGATTCATTTTTGGACACAATGGGCTAAAAGAAGTTTATTTCAGTCACGCTTTGCTCTCTGCCCTTTAACTGAGTACATACAAAAGATGGACGTAGAACTCTGACAGAACCTCCTGGTTTGGGAAACGCTGGTTTAACGCCTGGCATTTTGACTGCCGCCATATTGTTTTTTTTTTAAGCTTGATCTTTTCCTTCCTGGTTGTCTTCTTCTTCTTCTTCTTTTTTTTTTTTCTTAATCTTTTTGATCTAAAGCCCAAGATTGTCTTCTTATTCTTGTCTTTCTTGGTCGTCTTCTTCTTCTTCTCCTTCTTCCTAAGTCGTGGTTACTGTGCGGCAGTGATTCACGCAGTCTCGTAAACTTGATGTTGTCAAAACACCTTTTCTGCCGTCATCGCAGCAGCCGATGGTTTTTGACTTTGTTTTAAAGTCGAGGGATCTTTGGAGGAGCTGCAGCTTTTGTTGCTTCAGCGTTGGCTGATGCTCAGTTTGTCACGTTATGCTACGTGTGGAGAAGAAGCATTTAAAAGGAACAGAAGGTGACCAGTGGTACACCGAGCGCCGTAACGTAAGGACAACATGGGCTCATATGCATCAGCTGGGTGTACGATAGGCATGAATGAGATGAAGTCACTGACACAAATGAGGAAGTGTTCCTCCCACTCGCCGTGTTTGATCTGTGGGTCGTGTTAGAGAGATGTTGATGATGGTGAGTTTGCATGTTGAGGCTGCAGAGTGGGAAAACCCCTCCAGCTCTGGCAGGACCAGTGGGACGATGACTAGTCTGACTCACTCGACTCACCCGCTCCATCTCTCTGTTTTTTTTAAATTGATAAGGCATCTGTCACCTTCACTGCCTGCGTCCCGTGGTGTCATGCTCTGTGTACGTACTCTGCTCTAATGTGTGCTCGTGAAGTTCCCCTGAAGTTTCCACAAGAGTTTTTGTTTTTCTAAACTACTGACTTTTCGTGCCTGTAGTTTCTTAAAGATTTCTAAGGAAGTTTTCTGGATAAAATTGGAATTTCCCTTTAAGGTTCTCGCAGTGATGAACATTATACACCTTTAAGACTTTAAAGTTTTTTTTTTTAAACTCGAGCAGACTTACCAGAGATCTACTCAAGCAGCTTAAGCCACGAGTTATTTTTGTGACTGATGATGGTGTTAATAGTGGAACGAGGTAAATCAATGTGCCCTGAGTCATTCCTGCTTTCATGAACATCAAGTTTTATTCAAGAGGATCTGAAAGCAGCGACTGATGGACTCACTGGGGCAATCATCGAGCCTGACAGGTGCTTTACCTGGCACAGGATCATCCATGCCACAAAGTTTTGAAGAATAAAACCAGATTTGAAGCTTCAGCTTCATGAATCCGGATGTTGAGTTTAATCAAAAACAGCTGCAACAAAAAGTGAGGAAACGGCCTGTTTTATTCCTTAATACCAACATTAAAGTGTTTTATGCATTTTGTTTATGCTCGATGCATGAAATCCACCGGAATAAAAAACACTGTGATAGAAATATTAGCGGCCTGCAGTGTGTGATGAATGTGGAGCGCTCACGTTGGAGAAGAAAACAGGAAAATGTCTGAGCGCGTGTTAACCACAGGCCTTATTTCAGGCGAATCAAACTTGTAGAAACGGTGAGTGCAAAATGCAAACTCATTCAGAAAGTTTATTTATTCAGATCAGAACAGTCCCTTTTTTCCCTCTCGCTGCCTCAGCCCGGCCACAGCGCACACACCGGGACAACTTGGTGAATGTTTGGATTTACTAAGTGTCTGAACCAACTTTGGCATCATTAGCGTAAAACAAACATCCCCAGTAGCTGCACGCAGACTTCATCCCACAGCTGCTTTTCCTCACAATATTCCTCGAGACTCCGATAAACACTCGGAGCTCCTGCACGGATCGGATCTGTGCTCCGAGCGCTTTAGTTTTCTGACATCAGATGAAGTTTCAGCAAAATCTTCTGCTGGCCCGGACCTGTCCGAGAGCTCTCTGCAAACCACACACACACAAACACACCTCTGCTGTGTTTCATGTCTGTTGGGAATTTCCTCTCCTTGACACCCACATGTAATTACAAGGAAGTGGAGTTGCGTCACAAACAGGAAAGGTGCCGAGTTTCAGCTCGCAGATGAAAGCTCTGCATCCAGAGGTGTAATATCTGCGTTCGCGCCCACTCTGGCCCAGAAATACTGACATATTTAACCCTTTGTTGTTCACTCGTGGTCGCACAGCGGTGCTGCACAGACTACAGGCTGCCTCAGCGGGTGAAACTCATCAGGTACAGAGAGACCGAAACAAAAACACATTCGGTTGTTGGATTTAAATTACTGTCGTCATTTTGCACTCGGAGTCACCACTTTGAATTTTCCACAGCCTGATGGTTCATGACATTTCATATTTGTGGTGATGTAGATTAATCCCGAGCTTCACTTTCATCGGTTATCAGACGTTATACGTCTGCTCACTTGACTTTTCTGCTTCTTTATGAGGGCTGAGAGTCTTTCATATTTATTGAGGACGAACCTCCAAAGCTGAAAGCTAAAGCTGGTGTGGAAGTGTTTGAACATTCCCCACAGAGCAGCTTGGTTTGGTCTCTGTGGATAGGTTCCCTCTTCATAACGATTCTCTCATCCCAACCAGTCGCAGCAGATGGCCCCGTCCCTCCCTGAGCCTGGTTCTGCGGGAGGTTTCTTCCTGTTAAAAGGGAGTTTTTCCTTCCCACTGCCGCCAAAGTGCTTGCTCATAGGGGGTCATATGATTGTTGGGTTTTTCTCTGTATGTATTATTGTAGGGTCTACCTTACAATATAAAGCCCCTTGAGGCAACTGTTGTGATTTGGCGCTGTATAAATAAAATCAAATTGAACTGAGTGGGTGAGTTGGGGCGTGGCTACGTTGATTGACAGAAGCCAGATGGATAGATACTGAGGAAACTTCTGTTACGGCAGCAGGATGATGAATAAAAATGGTGCCATCCACAGTAAACAGGCGCATAGTGAGGGCCTTTTACTGCCAGAGATGCAGAACATTTACACTTGTGATGGCTCCACCCCTATATTTATTTGGAATTTCTATTTATAAAAGACTCGACTAGAGGAGATGAGGTTTCAGGTGAGTACATAATAAATAATTATCTCTTCCCCCGGCATTCACAAGCTTAAATCTCGACCTTCACAAGAGACAGAGGTTAAACTAAATCAAACCAACTCCTCCTAATACGCCTGCTCCAATGAGTGAAATCAAGCGCTCCCAATGACATTTAATATGTAAAATAACCAAGCCCTTTGTCTCAGTGTGGTCCAATATGGGGTCACCAGGAAGTGTAGGTCCTGTGTTTAATATTTGGTCCTCCAAAGGGGACTGGACCCAGCCCTGCAACAACCCGGGAGGCAGCTGAAACTGGCTAACTGGTTGTATCAGCTGACCTTTCAAAATAAGAGAGAGCAAATTGTCCATCATTAGATGTTTAAATGTAAAAATCAGTGCTTAGATAAACATGAGTGCTCAGGTTTCATTATGGGAATTGGCATTGCACATACTGCCCTCCTCTCTGCAGTTTAGCTTCATCGGGAGCAGTGAAGGCTGATCACTGAGCGCTTCTCTGCAAACTCCACTTGGCTGCTTCACCGTGCTGGGAACGTCAGAGACCTCAGGTACTTAGTGTGAGCGTGTTTGAACCAGGAAACCATCAGACAGCAATGCTCGCTGTGTTTCTAGGAACTGGGTTTGTCTGCCAGAGCGCTTCGAGTGGCCCACAGCACCGGGAAGAGGAAGTGGGCTAGTGTTTATTTACTGCTGCAACGTTCCTGCAGGCAAATGTCTGCAGCAACATCATTTGTACATGCACACGTGTGTGCACGGTAGAAACGGGAACAGATTTCCTTTCCGCAAACTCAGTTTACCTCAGAGTGCAATTAGATAGAGAGATAACTTTTAATTTTGGGTGTGGAGAAACCTCAACGACAAAGTGAAGGAAATCATAACGAGAGAAAAAGCTACAAGTTGAAGTTTTACTTCCTCTGAAGGAATCTTACAGATTGTTTGGTTTTGGTTTGGCAGATTAAGAAATGCACTCTCGGTTTTTGTAGTTCTGGAACAGGAACAGTTATCTGGATTCAGGCTTGAATGTCTTAAATGTGACTTTGAAAAGGATCCTGACCTGATCACAGATAAAGTTTTTTTTATCAGAGATAAAATGTTTCGTAGCTCATTCAAAGTTTAGCTGCTTTCACACTGTACGAAATCTCCACTGATGTGTGCGCTGTGCTCAGACTGAACGAGCTTTCAGCCACGCCTCTAATGACTCGGCAGTATTCTCAGGTATCGATCAGCTCCAGCTGGCAGTGCGATGCCTTCACATGTGTCTATAGGTTTCTATAAGTTACTATGTTGCTGTTGAATTGGGTGCAGCAGCTCTTTGGAACAGAAGGATGCACACTCGTTAAAAGTGTGCAGGGTTTTTTTTTTTTTAATTTCACTGGAAATATGGTTATTGCAGGTTTCCTTGAAAAGCTGTGAAATAATTGGAAGGCTGTGCCCCCCCCGTACAGTTGGGACTGACTCACTTTTGCAGTCTGAATTGGACTTTAGAAGAAATGCAGGTTTTACTTCAGGGAAAACTTCAGTTATATTTCTCTAACCTCGTCTCTTCGGTATAAATATAGATATAAATGAGGCATTAATGAGCACCTGTGTGTTTCACAGCTGAAACTCATAAGCTTCAGACTCGTTTTTATTTTACAGAATCTGTTTAATGTAATCACCTGATAGAGATCAGCGCGCTTTCATGTTTCGGACAGGGGATGAAAACACGTCTTTGCGAGATCCGTTAAAAAGGAGGTGAGGCGACGTGAAACTGCGTCCGCTGAAGTTTGGCTGGTATCGTGAGTCATCCGTACCAGGAGAAAGTTTTTTCTGAACCGCAGCAGAGAAGCGCCGAGGGCAGAAAAATCCAAAGTGCCCTGAATCTGTCACCGTGAGTCATCTCTGGATCTCCGAATGACTTCTCTAAAACCACATCCATCCAGTCTGACCTCTCCCTCATTTGACAGACTCTAACAATCCACACCGAGCGTTCTTCAGCACAGCCACTGTTTAAGGTTCAGCAGAAGCACATTTCCTCTCAGACTCAGTGTGTTGGCGATAAGCTGGTCTCCTGATTTGAAGACCAAAACATGGCAAAGATTATTTTCATGCATCAGCGACAGATGACAGATGAAGTTCCCTCTGTGATCCAGAACTTTGCAGGATTCAGAAAAACTCTTAAACTTGATCTGATCGGCATTATTTCTCCATTTCACAGCCAGGAGCCACATTCAGATGTGATTTATAAGAATATTAGAATATCAGAGCTGGAAGGCGAGTCTGGGATTGAATTGTAGGTTCATCAGCTGATCCCACGTGCCGATATAAGCCTGGAAAGTTTACCCATAATGCACTTTTTGAAGTTTTCTCCAGTGGATTATGGAGATCAGATCATCCAGGGTCCCATCAGTGGTGTCTGCTGCTCTGCCTCACAGACATTAAACTGATGCTCACAGCAGGTTATAGTGAGCCTGGTTTAGTCTTAACACTGTGAGTCTTGGAGTAAAGTTGCAGATATTTATGGTGGTTATCTGTGCGTGTGTTTCAGATCTGTAACTACCAGGGTCAGGCCCGGGTGGTGGTCCAGCTGGTGACGGCGCTGACCCCCGTCCCTCACCTGCACGCTCACAGTCTGGTGGGAAAACAGTGCGATAAAGGAATCTGCATTGCTGACCTGCAGTCCAAAGACTCCACCATCAGGTCTGCATCTCTCTCACACACACACGCAGTGAAGCCTGTAAAACGATCGTATGTGACGCTCAGTTTATTTCTCATAGCTTCCCGAACCTGGGGATCCTCCACGTGACGAAGAAGAACGTGGCAAAGACTCTGGAGGAGCGGATGATCGAGGCCTTCAAGCTGGGATACAACTGCGGGGTCTCCATCCACCCCGACATCGACAGTGTTCAGGGGGAGGTCAGAGTCCCTCGAGAAATCACAGGTGAGTGAGACACATAACAAAGTTTAAATTCGGGATGTTTTATCTGTTTCATCGTTGACTCTCGCCCTCCTCTCTCTGTCTTCAGAGCACCACCTCAGTGTGATCAGAAATGCTGCCTCTTCTCAGGCCAAAGAGATGGACCTCAGCGTGGTTCGGCTCATGTTCACGGCGTTCCTCCCCGACAGCGACGGCGGCTTCTCCAGGCGGCTCGAGCCCGTGGTGTCCGAGCCGATCTACGACAGCAGTGAGTCCAGGCATTTCTAATCTTCTCCCTCCAGCAGGAAGGTTTGCAGGTCCGTCCACGATGCGTTTAGGGCTCGGAGGAAAGTGTAACTTTGACTGTTTTTATCTCGTGAGATCTGCTTTGAAGGTACCGCCTGAGTCTTTGAACCACATGAAAGATGTTTCGTTTTCGCTTCAGTCCCATTTTGTGCTTGCTTGCGGTGTCGCTCTCAGTCTCATTTTTTCCACCTGCAGCTCGAACTAAAACCTGAGCAAACTTTACAGATGTGCGAGATAAGATTCTGGTTGCTGCACTTTGTCCCTGAGGTAGTGACAGTCTGTGTAATGCTACAACGGGGATTTATTGAAGAGCGACTCACAGAGAAACGGTTTGTGTGGCGGGACTTTTTACACGTGTACTTAAAGATGAGGAGATGAAGATTATTAAGGTTTGCAGAGGCAGTTTGCTGCCATTTCCTGTACTTCTCTTTAGTGTTGGATCTGTTTCACATTACTGAAATGTCCGACTGAATGACCGATGATTATTGCGAGTCTGACAGACCTGAAACAACCTGGATGTAATGCAGTTGGTTGCCCACAGAATTCTTTCCCTTGACTTTAATAAATGCCTGCAGCCTCACCAGGCATGCAATAAAAAAAGAGTGAGGTTTGGTCATAATGCTCCAAGTTCTGCAAATCCTGCAGGTCAGCTGTTCCACATCTCGGCTGTACAAACATCAGACTTACCTGCTAAGTTATTGCTAATGCTAATGCTAATAAGGTTGTGTTGATTATTGAAATGATAAAGCTGCTCATAAATTAGTGCTCTTTGGGGCACAGGTGTAGACCACCTGGTTGAGTCCTTGTCCATAAAAGCCAAAACTAAAAAAAATGAATCCATTATTTGGAGCTTGTCCTCAAAACTTTCCCGTTTCCTTTCATCAGCTCTAATCTTGTCATTGTAACCTGACCGTGTGTTTGTCAAAGTGAACAACCCTTCAACCGGTCGGAGCACACACCTGCAGGTGTCACCGACAAATTGAATTAAAGCCCACAGAGAAACGTGTTAGATGTGCAGACCGAGCTGCACACGGACTCGACGCCTACTTCAGTTTGCTCCGATCAGTTTTAAGAAAAATGAAAACGGGTTTTAAAGTGAAGCTTTGAGTCTTGGTCTGCGCTGAGAGATGATCATGTGTGAAGTTTTGTGTTGGACCGTAGATTCGATGGATCATTGGTTCCTACATACTGAACCTCAGCTCCAGGCCCCATGTTTCGGTCTGAAGTGTTGAAAGTATATGAAGTTTGTCATTTATATGTGTTGGATTTGTGGTTTGAAAATGTTAAATGTAGAGAAACAGCTGAATAAAGCGACTGGTCGGAATCGGAGGATCGCTCTGGACTGAAGATCGGCGCTTGCGTCTCGTCAGGCCGCTCGGTTTCGTTTCCCTCTTCCTGCTGAAGCTGCTTCGCTCTCTGTGCTGCACTTCCTCTCAGAGGACTGAACTCGACTCCGAGTTCATCGTTTCAGCCCCGCTCTGCACTTTCATTTTACCGGCAGGAAACATTTCACACACTTTTCTCTTCTCGATTCGCCAGTTTTCACTCTTTTACTTTTGGTTTTTGGACTTATCATTTTTTTAATTGCTAGACTTTCCTTTACCAGTTGCAGTAGACCCGCAGCGTTCAGGGTTCAGGCCAGCTTCAGTGTAATAGTAGTGAGCAGGAGTGGATCACCTGTTACAGCTACAGCGTGCCAGCGTTTGCTGTGCATCTGCAAGCTGCTTTGAAACCCACCTCCACCTCAGCTCCTTTTCATCCAGTTTCCACTTCCTGCTTTCTGTATGAATCCTGCTGTCCTCTCCTCTCACAAACCTGTCCACAGTCATGGACGTACCTAAACTACCAGGCCCCGTCCTGGCCGTGATTGCAAACTTCACAACTTCCTGTTGACTTTGTCTAGGGGAAGCGGCGCGTCTGTGATCTATTTTAGCATCTGTGGACACGTGCTCAGTGCCTCTATTTGATCTTACAGTGTGCTGTGGTTTGAAGACCTCAGCCTGTCCAGCACAGACAGGAACCCGTTCACAGCCCCTGTAACTTTGTGTTACAATTACACTTAAAACCCCCTCATGGTGTCTTTTCTGGCCCTGATCTCGAACACAAACCTTTGAGTGATGTAAAAGTGTGGTTACTTTACCTTAGAGTGATGGTGCAAAAAAAAAAACCCCTCCCCTTTGAAGATGCGTAGCTCTTGAGGAAGCCTCGGGTAGGTAGATCTCTGACAGCAACTGTTTCTCTTTTCGCCCTCAGAGGCTCCGAACGCCTCCAACCTGAAGATCGTGAGGATGGATCGGACCGCCGGCTGCGTGACCGGAGGAGAGGAGGTCTACCTGCTCTGCGACAAAGTCCAGAAAGGTGAGCTTTCCGAGCAGAGCTGTTTTCTGTTTGACATATATAAGGTCAGGTGCGGGACGCTCATATTAAACATGGACGCAATTTAAAATAATGAGGTCAGAAGAAGCACAAAGGGGGAGGAGCTAAAACACGGCATGCAGAGCTGCTCCAGTAAACAGCTGGAAATGAGCACGGCTGTTTGGAAGGCTGGTTCTGGTTTTTAAAGCACCTCGGAGCAAACATGCATGCAGGTTATTTTAAGGGCTGCTAAAAAGTCTCTCAAGTAGTGATTTTTTTCTTTTTCACTTTATTTGATGATGTTTCCGTGCAGTTGAGTGTAAGTGAGGTGAATCTGAGCAGTTTTTCCTGGTTGGAGCTGTGTCAGTGCTGTTGGAGGAAGTCCTGCTTCAGGGAATTCCCCTCCAACGTACAAATCCCACAGGAGGAAGAGTTGGATTCGGGCTGCCGCCTGCTCCGCTTCCAAGGTTTCTCTGAGAGAACCGATGTGCTCTGAGATCACGGTGGTCTGGCCTCCAGCAGCGGGGCAATGTTATTAATTATCAGTAGCCTGGTCCGGATCTCGTTATGTTGATGATTCTCCATGACGTACACTGCACAAAAGGTGAAAACCAGGATTACCCCTGAGGTTATCACAGGCCTCTGATTTAGCACGATCAAGATCTGAGAGCTGATTTTAAGCCACGTGAACAAAGGTTGATCTTTATGCAGTGCATCTGAGCTAGAGATGCTCCCAAGGCCTGAAAGCGAACTATGAAACCATGGTGACCTGATGTTTGCGTTTGCAGATGACATCCAGGTTCGGTTCTATGAGGAGGATGACTCGGGTCTCACCTGGGAGGCTCTGGGAGACTTCTCCCCCACAGACGTCCACAGACAGGTGAGCATTCCTGCATTCGGAGCTGCTACTTTGACCTGCAGGTGTTGGGAGTGTCATTAACCGTGCCCGTTACTGCGCCGACAGTTCGCCATTGTATTTAAGACGCCGAAGTATCGAGACCAGAACCTGCAGAAACCGACGTCTGTGTTCGTCCAGCTGAAGAGGAAGTCCGACAACGAGACCAGCGAGCCTAAACCCTTCACCTACCACCCCCAGATCTTAGGTAGGTCACATGACCCCGGTCTTCCTCTGGAGTTGGCCAGATATGAATCAACTCCAGAGGATGCGTTACCTGCAGGTTCCTAATACTCCTCTCAGGCCTTTATCTCTTCTTCTTCCCCCACAGCCTGATTTTACTTTCACTTTCAACAAAAAGAAAATTAATAAAACTCCAAATTATTTAAAAAAAACCACTGGAACGATTACAAGCAAATCAGCTGGAAACATTAATAAATAGCAGCGGAAAATTTCAATATTTATATTAATGTTTTTAGTATCTGTGTCCCAACACTGCCCCCTGCTGTTTGATCATCATGATTGATTTATTAATGATTTTAAATGTGGGATGCCACAGAGGTTAGCATGGCATGAACACGTGTGTGTTTTTAGACAAAGAGGAGGTGCAGAGGAAGAGGCAGAAGACTTTACCCAACTTCCAGGACTTCAGTGGTCATGGAGGAGGAGGTCTATACAGAGGAGGAGGAGGTCCGGCTGCTGGAGGAGGACCTGGATCCACAGGTAGAGTCTGTGTTCTGGTCTGCTCTGCGGTTTAACACATACCTGAGGGTGACGTTATGTGATGTCATCATTAATCTCTGTGTTTGGGTGGATTTCCCTCAGGATACCCAGGATACCAGGGCTTCACTACCTACAACTATGGAGGAGGAGGTGGAGGAGGAGGAGGTTTCTCCACAGGGTACTCAGCGGGTCTGGGAGGAGGTGGAGGAGGGATAAAACACGGTGAGGAACTACGATGAAGTTGTAGAGCCATTCAAAGTAATTTAGGAGCTGGAAGAGGTTGAAATAATCTATGATAATCTATAATACAAATAAAGTAACAGATTTAGGAGCGTGACCTTTTAACCTTTAACCTAGTTAGGAGGAAGAAATAAATCATGACTCAGTAATCTCGGATAAAAGCCAAGAAAAGTTTTGGAAGTCATTAATATTATTATTGATATTATGTGAAATTTAGGTGACGTCTAAGACAATCTAGTTATAAACCAGATTATAAAATCTCCATTTATGAGAAAATTCCATCTCTGAGATTATAAATCTGTAAATTTATGTGGAAAAACTTGAAAATCATCTGAGAAAACACAACAAACGCCGTTTGTTTAAAGCCTCTCAGAGCGGCGCCGCAGACAACGACGGTGACGACAACGACCCGGACGACGACTCGCCATCAGGAGCCGTGCTGCGAGCTCTAGCCCGGCCCGAACCCGTGGAGGTCAGCGAGAGGAGCGAGGAGGGAGGGGTCAGTGTGGAGCCTGAAGCAGAGAGAGGTAAGTTATTCTAAATTTGGCGGAAGAGTTTGTTTTTCCCGCCTCGGTGTTAGACCTGACGCTGCTGCTTTCTGGTGACACCGGGGATTATTTCCTGCGTGGCGCTCCCAGGTCCACTCAAAGATGCTCAGATCACACTGACGGCATCAGAAAGCTCAGGATAAATTCAGTTTTTACGAAGCGTTCAGGCGTTCCACACATCCGATCAAGTCTTTCTTTCTCCTTCAGAGTTCGACGCCAAGGAGCAGCTGGATCAGGTGATCAGCAGACTGCTGGAGGCCATCTTTCAGTACTCGGTTACGGCTGACTCGGCGTACCTGCTGGCTCCACAGCGCTCCCTGATGGCCGCGCAGGATGTAAACGGAGACACGTCAGTAAACGCATCGTGATGATCAGATGTGCGCACATTAAAAGGTTTTATTCGGCCGTGTAGTGACGCCTCCTTTTTCTCTTCTCAGCGGGCTCCATTTGGCTGTTCTCCACAACCAGCAGGAGGCGCTGAAGAGTCTGACGCAGGTGGTGTCTGCCCTGCCCGGAGAGGAGGTGCTCAACATGAGGAACCGCCTGTACCAGGTATGGAGCTCGTCGTCTCCAGCCTTACAGAGCCGAAAGCTTCAGGTCACGGAGCTAAAGCACCCTCCCTCTGTTCCCCAGACTCCTTTGCACCTGGCCGTTATCACGCAGCAGAAGGAGGCAGTGGAAGCGCTGCTGCTGGCTGGCGCCGACCCGACGCTGACGGATCGTCACGGCAACACAGTGCTGCACCTGGCAGCTCAGCATGAGGGAGAAGGAATGATCCAGTTTTTACTGCAACACAGAGAGCTGAGAGAGCTGCTGGACCAAACCAACACAGCAGGTACACACACACACACACACACACACACACACAGAAAAACACATTTTTTCTTGTATTATAGGTGAAATGAGTCTTGGTGAGTTTTCAGGTTTAACAGACAAAGACACGGGCACGTCACAGAGAGCCTGATCAACTGTACACTTCCTATTATCCTTGAAAACTTCCCAGAGTTACTGAATGGAAATATCCTGAATAGCTTCACAGTCGAGTCCATTAATCATAAACGTCACCAAATGTGCGGCTCCAGCAGGGTTTTGTCTTTGTGGAGTTCGTGTTGTTTGATGAAGGTCGGTGTCATCGATCTGCGAGTTAGCACGACTACTTGAATCTGTAAAATCAGAAAGTCGAGGTAACAGCGACTGTTTTTGTAAGATTCCTGTTTTTGTCAAAGAGACAGTGCGGGGGTGTCGTTTTATGCAATGCTGTGTCAGACGTTATCGTTACTGTCATCTCATTTGAAAACCTATCGGTAAACATGTTTGCAGGTCTGTGTGCGATCCACCTGGCGGTTCTGGCCAACCAGCTGTTTTCTCTCAGGGAGCTGCTGGAGGGCGGGGCCAACGCAGAGGTCCAGGAACGCAGCTGTGGCCGAACGGCCCTCCATCTCGCCACAGAGACTGACAACGTATCGCTGGCGGGCTGCCTGCTGCTGGAGGTACGCCTGGGTTATTGGGCAGACTGGGAGCTAACAACCAATCAGAGCAGAGACCTTTGCTGAGGCTTTGCTGGCTCAGCATCAGAGCTGCAGCAAATCATTATCTCGTTAATAAAGTGGTTACACATTCATATAGATGCACAACTGTGAGAAAGAATTTTCATACAGGTGATGCACAGGTGAAACTAAACGTTTAATGTCGTCAGCATACAAAAGCATCAAAACTTTCATCTGTAAAGATTTAAAATTCTATTATAATTATGAAGTTTATTAGTTCAGCAGTGTGACGGTGCTTCAGAATAACACAATAAAAAAGTCACACAGGCGGTAGAAAGAAACCCATAAATTCCGATCAATTACAAATCACTGATCGCAGAGACATGCAGGACTCGAGTGCAACATAAATTATGACATACAGTCAGTCTAAAATATGGGATGGTTTGGTAGTTACACATAAATTACATGAAATGTTCTGGAAGATAGAGCACTGAGCATCGTCAGCATGCACGAGCGCTCAAAACTCTCAGTATAACTTAACCTACACAATAAACACACCTACACAATTTAAAAAAAGATAAAATACAAACGAGATCCTAATGTGTCTTTAAAAGTGACTTTAAAAGATACTGACAAAGAAATCTGGAGTTCTTCAGCCAGGAACCACAACCTCCCCTAACAGCAATGATTAGGAGTGGTAACTGTTGATTGGACAGTCCACTAAAGCTAAAGTTATTACATATTTTTCTGATATCTAAAGCTGTCCGTTTAGCTTCATAGGCTTACGTGGGTCCAGCTGACTGGGGAGTGTAAGCAAACCCTTTGTAGCCTCGTCTCCAACTCCTCAGAGTGGACAGCGAGGCCTTCCTAAGTCAGCCAGGAGATACAGTCTCTCCAGAGTGTCTCAGTTGGACATGCCTTTAACACCTGAACTGATCAGGTGGTCAAACAGTCCTAAATAAGTTTTTTAATGTTATTAAGAAGAAGATGCTGATGTTCTCTCTCTCCTTGATTTGACTTTAACTGATGAAGAATCAGATGACCGATGGAGTGTATGACGACCAGTGGTGGGCGTCTCAGTGCTGAGGAATCTTTGTGTGATGTAACTTCACCTTTGAGTTGCCTTTGCATGAAGTGCTGTTTGTGTGTTTCTGCCATCAGGGAAACGCCAAGGTGGACTGCTGCACTTTTAATGGCTCCACCCCCCTCCACATCGCTGCGGGTCGAGGCTCTGTCAAGCTCACGGCTCTCCTCATGGCTGCAGGTAGATTTTTATTAAAGCTCAGAGTTCTTTTGTTCACCAGGAGCTCATTTACTAGCATCCACCTGAGGCCCCATCGTTTCTTACGGCTTCCTTTCTGAAGAGGACGAAGCCTGTGAGACGTCCTGATCTCGTGTTTAATAAGTTCGTATTTGGGTCTTTTCAGGTGCAGACCCACAGAAGGAGAACTTTGAGCCACTGTTCTTCAGGGAGGAGGATGAGGAGGAGAGCTGTGAAAAGGAGAGCGAGGAGGAGGAAGATGAAGGTTACATCCCAGGGACAACTCCCTTCAACATGGCTGCCACCCCTCAGGTACACGTAGCTTCTGAGCCTCTGGTGGACCTCACGACACGAAGCAGGTTAATGAACCCGCAGGTGTGTGTTTGCAGGTTTGGGATCTTCTGAACGGCAAAGAATACAAACCAAAAACACCTCAAACGGCCTTCGTCCCTCCTCAAGGTGAGCTCCTCCCCACACGTGGACACTTTATTACCCTGTGATTGACCACCGTGTTAGACGTGGTTCATTGTTTCATAACCACGAAATACAAAATCATGACATCGGCGCATCGGTTTGCTGATGACATGTTTGCGTGTGTAGGCGACCTGGCGAGCCTGGACACAGAGGTGAAGCAGGCGCTGTGTGGCACTCTGGAGAGTGAAGGATGCTGGGAGAATCTGGCTCACAGTCTGGGTCTCGGGATCCTTAACACGGCCTTCAGGCTGAGCCCCTCCCCCGCTAAAACCCTGCTGGACAGCTACGAGGTAACGCACACACACAAAACACGATCTCACACACTCCGACACACACTCCAGCATCTGAATGTTCTCAGAAACCTGGGAAACGCCCCCTCGAGGATTTTGTGGATAAACTGCTTCCCGTCTCTCCTGCAGGTTTCCGGTGGAACGATCAGGGAGCTGCTGGCTGCTCTGAGGTCAGTCGGCGAGTGCAGAGCACTGAGCGTCCTGGAGGAGGCGCTGCACGAGAGCGAGGAAGCGCCGGCCACCAGCGCAATGAGTGGTGAGCATGCGCACATAACGTGCACGTAACACCGACTGCCAAGTTGTGAGCGATTTCAAACTCACTTTTTAAAAAAGGTCTCATCTCTTAAGTCCTCCCTTCCCCCTGCTTTATATCCTCTCCTCATTCCTGAGTGCATTTCAACTTTCCACCAGTTTGAGCCTGTGTCACTTTTGACTCTTAAGCGGCTAGTTGCTCAAATGAATAACACCAATACTGTGCTTGACATTCTTCCATCTCGTTTAGCTAAGGACTGTTTTGATGTAATCGGACCTAGTATCCTATTTCTTATGAACTTTTCCTTGCTCTCAGGCTGTGTTCCTTTGTCCTTTAAGCATGCTGTAGTCCACCCGATTCTTAAAAAAAGAAATTCTGACTGTTATGACCTTTCAAACTATAGACCGATCTCTAAGCTTTCGTTCTTGTCCAAGATCCTGGAGAGACTAGTTCTCTCCCAACTCCAGGCGTACTTGGACACGAACAATATTGCTGAGAAATTTCAATCTGCCTTTAAGCCATTGCATAGCACTGAAACAGCGTTGGTTAGAGTTCTTAATGATATTCTTGTAATCACTGATACTGGACGCTCTATGGTCCTAGTTTTACTGGACCTCTCTTCGGCCTTTGATATGGTAGACCATAACATTTTATTACTAAGACTTGAGCACACTGTGGGTATTAGAGGCACTGCCCTCGACTGGTTTAAATCATACCTCGCTGATAGATCCTTATCAGTTCACCTAGGCACCTTCTCCTCTTCCTCCGCTCCGGTCTGTTGTGGTGTGCCTCAAGGATCAGTTTTAGGCCCTATTCTCTTCTCATTGTATTTGCTCCCTCTAGGCACAATCTTTGAAAAATACAATATCGCCTTCCACTGTTATGCCGATGACATACAGATCTATTTTGAACTTACTGACGACCTTGCTGTGTCCCTGCACTACTTTCAAGAATGCATGCGGGAGGTCAAAGAATGGTTCCTGAGTAATTCCCTCGTTTTAAATGATAAGAAGACTGAGATTGTGGTGTTCAACAGTAAAATCCCTCGTGCCCAACTCTGTGCTGCCCTGGGTTCCTTTGCTAGTTTTTCTTGTGACTATGTCAGTAACTTGGGTGTACTGCTGGATAGCTCGCTCAAACTCAATAAGCAAGTGTCTGCTGTAGTGAGATCTAGCTTCCACCAACTGCGCCTTATCTCTAAGGCTAGGCATTATGTTCCGCATGAGGACCTGGAGAAGCTTATTCACGCTTTTGTGACCTCCAGGTTGGATTATTGTAACTCCTTGTACTATGGTCTTCCCTCTTCTCTTCTTCTTAAACTGCAAACAGTCCAAAATGCAGCAGCTCGCCTTTTGACTGGTACCAGGAAATTTTGCCATATTACCCCTGTCCTAGCTAGCTTGCATTGGCTGCCCATAAAGTACCGTATTCAATTTAAAATATTACTCCTTACTTTCAAAACTATTAATAAATTAGCGCCAAGTTATCTTAGTGAACTTCTCAAACCACATACTCCTGCTAGAACACTCAGATCTGCCACTCAACTACTTCTGACCCAACCCAGATCTCGACTGAAGTCCCGGGGTGACCGTGCGTTTGCTCTGGCTGCCCCGGTACTGTGGAATACCCTTCCTCTCGACCTCCGCGCATCTGACTCCATTGCACTGTTCAAATCACGATTAAAAACCCACTTATTCAATCTTGCCTTTCCCTCTAGTTAATATTTCTTTTATGATTTTATATCATGCACTTCTATGCTCATTTAAATTCTTGTTTGCTCTGTACCTGTTGCTTTCCTATGTATTAGTGACAGTTATCTGTTTGCATATTTAGTACTTGCTTTGGTCCTATTTCTATTATCCTCCTCCTATACTCTATTTTACTTGTTAAGCACCTTGGCATACCCTTGGTTTTTAAGTGTGCTTTATAAATAAAGTTTATTATTATTATTATAAGTCAAATGACCACGAGTCACTGAGCTGCGTTTGTGTTCGCAGGCGAGCTTCTGTGCGCTCGGGTTCAGGAACTGAAAGTGGACACTCGAATCGACAGCGGGGTCTGCGACAGTGGGGTGGAGCTTTCCACGGCGTAATGATCTGATCGGTCCACCTCCAGCTGAGTCCATCCATCCACCCGTCGTCCCTCGACTCGCTCTGGACCGAGTGCGACGCTCGTCCTCGTGATGGGTTCAGGGCTGAAAGTTTCTCTGAGCTTTTTAAACCAGTTTGTAGAAAAAAAAGGGTCAAAAGAAAACTTGATTGTAGCGCGTGAAAACAGTCAAACTCAACTTTTACTTTTTTTTTTTTTTTTTTGGCCACGACACTCCAGCAAAGACGGGGAGCAGCTTCTGTTCCCGAGGAGCCAATAAAGGAAAAACATACCAAAAATCCCCCCCGCCTTGGTAAGCTGACGTCTCCTCCTGAGGCGCGCTCTGTTTTCTGTGGATTCGATGGTAAAATTGTGGATTTGGGGGGTTTTCTGTTCACTTCAACCGCTGAACGCTTCGCACAGTTTGTTCTTTCTGCAGCCGCCAGCAGAGAAAAGGTGCTACGAAACTGAAACGATTGTAAAGGATCAGATGTTCTGTAATCTGTTACTCGTCTGGTGTTAATCAGAGGGCAGAAACGCGCTGTGATGACACCTCAGATTAAAGAGAGGTTTACCACAATGGTGATGAAACTGACCTCTCATGGGTTGATAACTTTAATCCACCTGCCACAGCCATTGTACGATGTGAGGATCTTAATCTTATTTTTCCTGTTGGTTTACAGCTAGTTTACTCGCATAGGTGTTCCTAATAAAGTGGTCGCTTTGGGCAGCATGAGCAGACTCTTCATGGACAGATTATCACGCGTGTTTTATTCAGACACCCCCCCGACATCTGAAACTCTCCTCCTGGCGCTTTTTTTTAAAGTATTATTTACTCTCTAAAATTTCAATGACGATATGTTTTCCTCTCGTGACGTCATCATGAACTGAACCTGGTTTTTATTTCGTGATTTTATTCTGTGGCACGAGTGCTGAGGGGAAACTCAGAGAGACGAAATGTAAGGCATTGTGGGAAAGGTAGTCCAGAGCTGTGGGTAGCTGCTGTTCCTGTTTCTGTAATCCAGCAGATGATATTTATGTTCCTGCCCTGCACTGTACAGTCAAACATGAGCTTTTAACCTTTTTTTTTAAAAAATAAAATCTGATTGTTTTTTTAAAATAAATATTCAAATTGTGATTTATTTCCACTCACCTGCTCAGCTGTGGAGTTATCCAGAGAAGCTGAGATGTTGTGTTGAAAAGAAAACATGGTAAGAGTTTCTGATAATGACAACTGTGTGTGTTGGAGACTGCTAAACACTCAGTATATCACAGGCTCAGTTTATTTAGGATTATTTTGAACTATAATCATGCAAAGTTTAACATCAGCTAACCCAGCGTGACCAGACAATGGTTAGGTCCAGTACCTCCAGTTATACTGAATATATCCCAGATTCATCCTGCAGCAGGACGATGAGTCTCAGCATCCATCCGGAGAGATAAAGGACCGGAACAAAAACAACTTGTATTGAACTTATGGAGGTGTTTATAAAACTGGTAAAACCTCCTAAAATCACTGAAGATATCAGCGAAACGAGAAGAAATAACCACAAAGGCTTTACGTCCCAAACATCTTTGATCTGTGATGAAGAGATACAAACTAGAGTTAAAACACTTTGTACCACAAGACGGCGCAGTGAGTCCAGGGCGATGCGGTAGACCTGGGGTAAACATTTAAACACCGCCCCCTGGTGGTTAAAAACATGACATGTTGAAAAGAAACGCTGAAAGCTGAGCTGCGATACGAAAAAAAAGTCTGAACGTCCTTCAGCTTGAGTTAAATTCTTAAAATTTTCTTTCTGAAACATTTCAGATGTGCAATTATATTTCTGTGTTTCCTTTACAATTTTGTGTTCCAGCTACTCTGAAAACAAGAAAAAGATCAAATCACTGTGCTGTTTTTGTTCCTTATGACTCTACATCACTCTTTTGTGTTTAATCACAAAGTCCGAAGGAATCCCGAGTAAATCTGAAGCTTCATAAATCCACAGTGATCATGATCACCATGACTGATCATCACCAAAATGATCAGTTTGAGATTTTTTGGCTAGAATTGAGCAGCTCTGCTCTGTAAGAAAGACGTTACATTGGAGTTTTTAACATGTAAGATGTTTTCACTCTATTTTGTGAAGTAATTACATAATAGCTCCTGTTTTTTTATTCTTTAGTTGTTTTGTAATTCCTGGGGAGTCTGGCTAATGAGCCTCCAGAACCTTTTTTGTCATTTTACACTTATTTAATTTAAGCAGCATTTCTTCATTGTGTAGAAAAACTGTGACATTATGTTGAAATTGCTCTGTATTTCTTAATGAATGGGATTTAATGTGTGACTTATACTGACAGAAAGTCCAAACCACTTGTGATCTGTCTGTTCTCTCAGTGTGAAACGATTTTAACCTCCCTGAGCAGGAGGATTAATTTCGCTGATAACGGCGTTCATGTGACCTCTGAGCGTGGCTGATGATGTCAGGGTAGCGGCTCCTGCTCTCAGAGTCCGCTTGTGTTTGTGACGAATAAAAAGAGTCTGTTTCCATTCTTCCACCTGTGAGCAAAGCAGAAACAGACTTTTTTATTCATCAGGAGGAGTCTCAGAGCAGGATGTGATTCCCTGGAATGAAAACAGGACAACAGGAGCTGCAATTTGTTCAGCTTTATTGAGAAAAACCATCACGGAGCTATTAGTTGATCGATCAGCCGCGGGGAGCTCGGTTTGTGTTCCAGTGCAAAAAGAGGACAACAGTGTTGGATGATGGATGAACTAACGGCTCTAACGGTCTAAAAACAAAAGAAACCAAAAAGCCTTCTTCTTCTTCTTTTTTAAAAAGCGGTCTCATCTGCAGGAGCAGTGAGTCCGCTCTGCTTCCTGGTTTCTCAGTTGGCACGTTGACGGCTCAGAGTCTCAGCCCTTCACCCGGAAAGCAGAAAAAACCCAAACAGACAAGCGATAAAAATCAAAGGATGGGACGGGAAGGAAAGGTGAACAAATTGCTGTTACAGGTGGATGAGAGGGGGCGTGGCCACATGAGAAAACAGCAGGAGGCAGATCACATGGCGTATTTCTGAGTCCAGTCCTGAGCCGTCTTGTTGTACCTGCAGGGAGGGAGAGAAAAGGTGAGGAGGCGGGAGAGGCTGCAGGACGATGCCATGCCTGAGAAACACAGACCAAAATCCACCTGCAGCCATTCACAGGAAACAAAACATCATTGTCACCGCTTTACTCCCACTCGCCACACGTGCAGTTTACCCCAACTGTCAAACACAGGACGCCCCTCAAGCAGCAACACCTGCAGTTCCTCTAACGCCCACCAGAGGCTCCAGCAGTGAGTCAGTCCCCACAGAAATAAACATGTTTACAGCCCGATACACAAACTGTTTGGTCTCTATAGATAATTTCCCCCTTCATAACACCTGTACATGTGTGAGTTTTATTATATCTCACGTCTTTAGGTTTGCGTTATTTTCTCTCCCTGTGACGTCCGCCAGGTCGTCCCTACCTGCGCTCCATGCAGTGAGAAAACTCTGCAGTCATGCTTTATTTGCTTCAACGTGCGTCTGAGACACAGAATCAGCAGGCAGCTCAGGTGAGCTTCACTCTTACCCTCACAGCATGGCATACTTCTCTGTCCACTCCCTGGCTAGTCTGTTATACCTGAGACCAAGCAGCAGGACACTCGGTTATAAACCTCCCGCTAGGCTAGAAGCCGCTCTCCTCGTCCTTTGAGCAGCCGATTACCTGCAGGTTAACAGGTGTGGACTCACCTCACAGGGTCTGTTTTGTAGATGCGGGCGATCTCTGGCACTAGCGGGTCGTCGGGATTCGGGTCACATAACAGAGAACAAATGGACAAAAGGACTGCAGAGAGGGAAAAGAGAGAGTCAGAGCAGCTCTGAGGTCTGCAGCGTGCTCCTGCTTTTCACACATGACTGAGTGATTATGAGTCTGTATGGGGGACAAAAACTGCCAACAAACAAGCAAACACATCACATTATAGGCAACAATTATTATGAAAATGTGATGTATTTATTATACTGATTTCATTTGCTTCATTATTTATTATTTACTTCTTTTTTTTTTCTTTTTTTTTTACTTTTTTAACTTTTAATTGTTTTAGTTTTGGCAGCTGTGGGCCTCCATACAGACACACCTGCAACGACAGCAAGAAAACAAAGAAGAAAAGAAAGAAAAGAAAATGCATATGTTCAGGGAAATGTATATACAGGAGCAAAGCAAAAGTAAGATAGTACATTTAAAAAATAAACAGGAAAATTATTTAAATTAGTTGAAAATAAAAAACTGTAACTCTTAAAAAATAAATGGAAAAATTATAATATTAACAGAAAAATAAATTAAAGTAACAGGAATATTTAACATACATAAATATGAGTAAATGGAAATATAATAGCATAATAATTAAAAGTAATATTGCGCATAAGGTAAAAAAATAAATAAATAAGGATGAAAATGCTTTAAAAATCAGATTTCAGCGTCAGGTTCAAACTTTATTTTCTGCTCTGTGAACAAACCTGTTTGATGTAAATATCATTATTACCTGTTACAAGGTGAAACTACAACCAAACAGCTCCACCTACTGGTCAAAACCTGTACTAACAGTAAAGAATCACTGCAGGACAGAAGTTTTTAACCATTTGTCTCCCTCTGACGGGAGCGTTAGAGTCGCTATCTATAAATGAGATGCCTAATTATAGAATCTTTATTAATAAACTACAAGAAAATTAAAGCTAAAAAAAATATATTTCACACATCTTTTCATTATTCTCACCAAAGGGGAGCAGATTTAAAAACTCAATTTCAGGGTTACAGACACAGAAACATTTGGCCGTTTATATGAATGTTTCTTACCTTTAGAGATAGTTAATGCTGGAGACCACTGTGATCTCAATATATCCAAACAGATGCTGCCATTACTGTTTATATTTGGGTGATAAATTCTCGTTGTAAAGGCGACCTGAGCGGGGAGAGGAACCGAAACGATTTAGCATCACTTCAAAATCTCAGACATGTATTCAATTTTTTTTATTTATTTTAATTTTAAGGAAGTTAAAAGGCTTCAAAGGTTTAATAAAAGTT